ACGTACGTAAGTATGTATGACTGTTTCCTGTTTAGGAGTGAAATTTCTGTCCTTATAAGGCCAAAAAAAAATATTCGATCTCTGGTGAGACCAAAGTTCCGGAATTGACGCGGCGACGCGGCTTTTTATTTTTTTCTTCAAGCTTGGATTGTACAGACAAGGTGGGGTACTATTTTGCTATTTGGTGTCCTCATGAACATTGGTGTCCTCCATTATTTGCCTTGGTGCTCTCGATCATTTGCCTTGGTGCAATTTCCCATTCCTTGGTGCTCTTTGGTAAAAAAAATTGAGGAGGTGCGGCAATAGAGGGCGCTGTTGGAGCTACCGCGGAACATTTTGGAAAAAAAGAAAGATTGATGCGCAGGATTAAAATCGACGCGCCCGCTGACCAGAGACCAACTTATTTTTTTTTTTGGCCTAATGTTTTTTTATTTTAAATATGCCACATGCATTCATTTTTGGCCGTTTGATGTCTGGAAAAAGTAAGTGGCTGAGAACTTTCAAGTGTAAAGTGGGCTACTGTTTTATAATGCTATCAGATTTCCCCCCTCCCCCAATTTTTTTTAGATTTTGTTTGTTATTGCATTTAAGCCATAAGGGAATTAGTCGGTCAAGTGGCTTATAAACTTTTGAAAGTCAAGTGGAGAGCGTGTAATACTTTCCTGTGCTAAGCACTGAAACGTTCATTTCAGTGGTCCTCACATCTCGTGAAATTATTTGTAACTTGACCCCAGACAATACAAGTTTCTGTCATATGTGCTTACATGTAGAATGTACATTATGTATATCAGCCATGTGGTTGCGAAGGCCGATTTCTAAAGGTTACGTAATATAGGTTTTCCTGGACAATTTCTGAAAATGTGCATTTGAATTTGTAAAATAAAAATTCAATTTGGCGCTGATTTTGGGAAAGACATATCCTAGTTTCATTTTCGCAATGACTAGCTTTCGATTTTATTTTGCATCATTCAAATAAATGAATGTGCAATAACGTTTCATTTAAAGGATTGCAAAAACGTGATTAGGCTTTCGGTTTAACGAAAGTGTTGCCGATTATTACGAATGTGCAATCTAATTCGCAGAAAATCGATTTGTTATTGTGACACGGGCTGAATTGAACATTCTTTTTCATTTGTCATAATTTAAATTCGCAAAGTCTGCATTCAATTTAAATAGATTGTACAGCCTATACAAATCACGATACAGCTTTGATTGATTCATTAATTAATCAATGTATTGTAGGCCTAATTGATCATTAATATGTTTGTTCTTATACACAAAGGCTTATTATAAATAGGCAAATTAAATGTTAAAAAGGTAATAAATCTTACCAAAATAAAATCAATCAAAGTACACGTAGTCTTGTAGGCTATTATTGGGACGGTAACGGAAACACCACGTGTCATGTTACATGGGATCTGGATACTTTTATTGTTGGTTCTTTGTCTTAATTGTATTTTAACATCTTTCTGTATTTCTTAAAGTTCTCTCTCATTTTATCAGTTCGATTGCTTGGTTATATGATGCGTTTGTAGCAAATGCTGAGCAAAAAAAAGGAACGATTGTCTTCAGCTTAGGTTTTTATGTAGGATTTATTGTATTGTATGTTTCAAAAGACTATACACAACTTGGTTTAGTTCAATCATCATGAATATTCAATCATGCAATCAAACATTTCTCATGTTTCTTTTGTGAACACATAAATGAATTCCAATGCTTGACCAGGCATACGTTAAACAACGCTGCGCAGGAAATCGGCTGCACATTTAGCGAGATAGTTTGATGATAAATTAAAAGGAATACAGGATTGCGGATGTGCCTTCAATTTCGTTCAGAAATGAAATTTCAATACACCGAATTCAGTGCACATTCGGGAACCTGTACGCTGATTTTTTAACGACTGAATGCACCTTCATGGAAATAGAATTATCATTTGTTACTTATAGAAACAGGGATTTGGAACGTTCATTCTATTTCGCACGAAAAAAAAATGCTTTTTTTTACAAATTCATGTGCACATTTTCCAAAATTGTCCGTGAAAACCTATACTTTATTTTGAATGAAACAACATGCACACAGACATGTTGATGTTCGCGGGCGAACTACCGGTATTTGAAAATCAATTTCTCCTGTTTGGAAGACTGTATCTTCATGCAACTTTCAGGGTTCATTTCCCTCATAAGGATCCAACTAGAAGTGCTAAAAATCATTTTGATGTGTAGTACTTTTCGTTGAAATTGGAAAAATAGGCCTGGTTATGTACATTTTTAAAAGTTGTAACACTTCTGTCAATCTTTTAAAGACTCACAAATATTCATAAGATTCCTATCCATTATGGTGTGCAGTAAAACTTTGCAGTATTGCCTCCTTCACGAGTTATTAATTAATAAAAGCAACCTTTTTGCCGGCTTCCATTGGTCACTATTGAGACCCACATGAAGTTACGCGGAGTCACGCTAATATGCTGATATGCGCTTTGTCATTGTTGCCCCCAAATTGGCCAACCTGAAAACCATGCACTTGAGTTTAATAGGTAGGGAAAAAATCCTCATCGAAATTTTTTTGGGAGATAGTTCTAGGTGTAACACAAGTGTTTGCAACAACAGATTAAGCTGAAATTCGGAAGATAAAAAGATGATATTAGTGTTCAACTACTCGTGAAATAACAACGTGTGGGGATGCCTAGAAATTACATAGATATGGGGACGTTTTCAAATGATTTCTTCACAACTTTAAGGTCAGCTTTGTCAGAAACCAGTATTGATGTTTCGGCATCAGTGATGGCGATTTTTTCACTTACATGAAGTTTAGAATTTCTTCTTCCGTTATAATTTAACATTTCAATCATACTGAGCATATTTTCTGAGAAACACAACGTTCAAAAAGCCACGTTTTTTGGGGGTACATACATTTCACTGCTCTGTCTGCAGTTTATGGATGTTGCATATAAAGGGTAAAAGATGAGCTAGTGTTTTCTTTAGTTTTTTTTCCTATACCTTGCTAAGTTGAAAGTGACTAGGACAAGATGAGACAAAAGATGATATCTTTTTTTATTTAAGGAAATACATGTAACAGGCATCTTTTCTGTGTGATATGTATGTAACGTAGACAGTCACACTGCAAGGAAAAGGGTGCTTAGGACTAATTCAGTTTCTAATAGGAACTTCCAGTGACCATGGTGACATTATATTAAGCCATTTTACATTGTTATCAAGCAAAAATATAACAGTTTTCACACTGGCTTCACATTTATGATGTGATTATAGGGTTATGTACAAACAGGGACAGACATTTTGTGACAATGTCCAATCTGTTCGTAGGTATAAATCCTGAGTACAAAGTATCAAATAATTCTTCACATTGACTCTGATTTTTCTAGGTTTTGACTGACAGCATTCCTCCAGGGTACATCTTCTTAAATAAGTCAACATTAGGGCATGATTAAATTGTATGCTTACTTTGTGACTTTATCGAAAATGTCTGTCCTTCGTACATATGTAACACTTTTTAAAACAATATCACTATATTTTCTAAAATACAAAACCAGTTATATCATGCAGGTGAGGATATTTGTTCGAAGCTTGCAATAGTTACAGCAAAAATTGGCAGACCAAGATGGTAGTTTTATCATCAAAACTAAAAGGTCTTCTCAAATGTCACACTTTTGGGCCCATTAGTGTGGAATTGCCCATACACATGTACTAAAGAGATGAAAAAAAATTCAAAATTCCATAAAAGAAAATCACATCATCACTTCACATTCACCTATAAAACATCTCTGTCTGCATCGTATTGTACATGTACATGTAGTTCTCTAGATGTCTTTAACAATTTAAGATGACGTCACGCGACACATCTTTGCTACATACAGTATACAGTATGGTCTTTGTTTACAATGTTAACCTTGTTTAAGATCTGAGCTTTCAAAGTGTCCAAAGTGGCTGCCAGAAAATTGTGTACAAAGTCTATAGGATTTGGGATAACAAGCACTATTATTAATTATTACTATTATTACCTGTATTTTACAAAACATACATGTACATACATTTGTTGTAAAGTGAGTGCCAACATAAATTTTCAAGCACATGTGTGTAGCAACATGTCCACCAACCCTATCGCAATAAGTTCTCACCACCGATTATAATGCTAAAAGCACTTGTATTTACATTGCATTTAAATCTGACTTCTACATGTATAATTTAATATTTCAATTAGATAGAGTATATACAGTTTATTTGCAGCTATCCAAAAACTAACTGACCAAATTATTGTGAAAATCTGATTAGGTTTAAAGATAGTACTGACACTAAACTCCCTGTGAAATTATTTCTTCTGGAATGCTGTGAGTGTCATTTTTGAAGGAAATAACAAAAGAAGGTTTTTGAAGTTTCTGTGAATCAGCTCCCATGGATTCCAATTTGTAGTTGGTTTGCAATTGGGCGAATCTGTGAATGGTTGACAAACGGCTGAATGAGAATCATTCCCTGAATGCTGGTTTCGGGATTGTGTCATGCGAGGGCGCAATTGAAAATATGACTTGGCAACTTTGGAATTTAAAGCAACATGCAGAATATTGTGTTCATGTTTGTTGTGGTTTGTCGAAATATACAGCATTCACAGAGCTAAAACTTCATCGGGTTAGTTATGAAGCAACCGTCTTTAGATTTTGAGCGGTTTTGTTGGTTCAAATGAAAAAAAAATCACAAATTACACATGGTCTACAAAACTACCTTTTGTACATTGTGTAGTTTTATCTGAGTCGAGGCCACATCAGGCACATTGTGAAATTGATGCATGGATATGAGAGTATTAAACTGCTCAGCAGTTGTTGCAGCTGTTAAAGTTCAAAATAATTATCCAGATTAGATTTCTTCCTAGTGGCGTACCGACTTTAAATAAAGTACGATTGTTACACAAAAAGAAAGTGGATACGATCAGGCCTATAATTCAAAAGATTTTAACACAAAATCATATTTAAAAAAGAAAAGTCCACAAAGTTTTTAGGTGACCACACCTCCACAGAATGGCCTTTCACCTGATATCAGCATCTTCAGGAAATCCGAGGGTTCTGGGATGTCCTCCCACTTGCGGCGCAGGATGCAACGGAAGACGGTCTTGAAGTCCCGGTGTTTGGTGGCGTAGATGAGCGGATTGACACAACTGTTGAACAGCATGATCGCAAAGGCGTAGGGTAGGAATGGGTCAGTTCCGTCATTTAACAGGCAGATGGCACAGGGAGTCAGGCACAAAATGAAGGCACAGACGATGTAGAACATGTTCTTGGTGATCTCGGTCATATGGCGACTCATCTGGGATTGGCTGAGGGTTCCTTGTGTGGATGTGGATGCATGGTTACTGCATGTATTCACAGTAGCTACCGATTGTGACACCACAGTCATGTGGGCAAACGTCAGCTTGGCAGAGGATTCAGGAGCAGTCAATTTCTTAGCGTGATTGCGGAGATGCTTCCAGATGAGAGCATAACAGATGATGATGGTTATGAGAGGGATAGGGTATAACACAATAACTAGGATGAGATCGTAATCGTGGGAGCGATGATTGGTAGATGGGAATCCACAGATATGGTATTTCTTGTTGTACCCTACCGCACCCACGTCTGCGAGTGGTGGGATGAGGATGACAAGCAGAGGGATAGACCAAGCCACTGCCAGCCACACGACAATCTTCTTTGGCGTGTAGACGACTCGATGGGTAGCCTGCCATTTGATCAGCAGAAGGCGTTGCAGTGCGATGGAGGCTAGGGTGTACGTACTGCAACCAATAGACAATTATACCACCCGCTGGATCTGTGCCTGTATGTATACATATGTTGATCAAGACTGCCGCGTGAAAGTGAAAATAGTAATTGAGGACCATCAGAAAGAAATTACAACAACATCAAGTGGAGTTTAGCAGAACTTGAAGAGCATCATTGTTTATAAATCACATTACAAAAAGCTAACCTTGCCAGTTGTCTCTATTTTTATGACATTAATTTGTTATCTACACGTATACACTTGCATACATTTTTTATTCATGCAACTTTTAGTATTTTCAGATTTGTCGGTTTTAAGTTCTTTTAATTATTTGTTTACTGTTTTAAATGTTACTTCTAATGCTATTTTGTTTTAGACCCCATTTGTCTCTATGTGCTTCTATTGACTTTTGGACTTTTGAAGTCTCTTAACATGCTCACTTTTACATAAAAGGTAAAGTTCAACACGCGAAACAATACCCGAGATGGGCCTGCTTCCGATGTTTGTGCATGCATGAATTCCGATCGGCTGCCATTCTATGTACATGTATCTTACTTCCATTATAATACAGTTTTTTAATTGTTAAATAACTTATTAGTTTTATCCAAGTCAAGTTTACATCAGGCACATCATGGATGTTCTTCATGATGTCCTTTTAATATCTATTTTTTTTGGTCACTTTTTTAACGCTGTTTTATTTTTGTGAAGCCTTTTGATACTCTTGTATGAAACGCTTTATAAAAATACAAGCATTATTATTATTATTTTACTTTTCTTTTCTTTTACAAAGCATGTAAAGTGAGCGCCAACATAAAATCTTCAACTATGTACATGTGTGTAACAACATGTCCAACAATCCCATCTTCTCACCACCGATTATAATACTAAAAGCACTTGTATAAAAATTTTACATATTTTACAATACATGTACATAATATACAATGTACATTGTAATTACCGGTAGATTATAGATAGAGTATACAGTGTATATTTTTTGCAGCTACATGTAAGTAGCCGACCAAATTATTGTGAAAAGCTTACTTGGTTGAAAAATAGTAATGACACTAAACTCCTTGGGTAATTATTCCTTCTGGCATGCTGTCACTTTTGAAGAAAATAACAAAAGAAGGTAATTTCCAAAGATGTGTCAAGTGACAAATTTTTGGAAGTTTCCGTGAATCCACCCCAATGTTTGACAACCGGCTGAATGGGAATCATATCCCAAATGCTGATTTCGGGATTGTGTCACGAGACTGCAGTTATGGGCACATTTCAAAATATGACTCAGCAACTTTGGAATTGAAATCAAGATCCAGAATATTGTGTTTTTGTTTAAAAATATACAGCATTCACAGAGCTAAAATTTCATCAGGTTAGTTATTAAGCATCCGTCTTTAGTTTTGAGCACTTTAGTTGGTTCAGATGAAAAAAAATCACAAATTACAAATGGTCTACATGTATTCTACCGTTAGTAGTTTTATCTCAGTCAAGGCCACATCAGGCACATTGTGGATGTCCTTCAGTAAGTTTTATTTTTGATGCATGGATACCGGTACATGTATGAGAGTATGAAACAGCTCAGCTGTTGCTCCTAGTGGAATTGATATTAAATAAAGCACAAATGTTACACAAAAAGAAAGCGGATACAGTCAGGCCTATAATCCAAAAGATTTGAACACAAAATCATATTTAAAAATGCAAAAGTCCACAAAGGTTTTAGGTGACCACACTGCCCCCTCCACAGAATGGCCTTTCACCCGATATCAGCGTCTTCAGGAAATCCGAGGGTTCTGGGATGTCCTCCCACTTGCGGCGCAGGATGCAACGGAAGACGGTCTTGAAGTCACGGTGTTTGGTGGCGTAGATGAGCGGATTGACACAACTGTTGAAGAGCAGGATCGCAAGGGCGTAGGGTAGGAATGGGTCAGTGCCGTCCTTTAACAGGCAGATGGCATAGGGAGTCAGGCACAACATGAAGGCACAGACGATGTAGAACATGTTCTTGGTGATCTCGGTCATACGGCGACTCATCTGGGATTTGCGGAAGGTTCCTTGTGTGGATGTGCGTGCGTGGTTACTGCATGTATTCACAGTAGCTACTGATTGTGACACCACAGTCATGTGGGTGGTCACCAACTTCTCTGAGGATTCAGGCGCAGTCACCTTCTTAGCGTGATTGCGGAGATGCTTCCAGATGAGAACATAACAGATGATGATGGTTATGAGAGGGGTAGGGTATAACACAAAAACCAGGATGAGATCGTAGTCTTTGGAGCGGGGATGGTCAGACAAAAATCCACAGAGATGATACTTCTTTTTGTACCCTACCCCACCCACGTCTGCAAGTGGTGGGATGAGGGTGACAAGCAGCGGGATACACCAAGCCACTGCCAGCCACACTGCTATCTTCCTCAGCGTGTAGATGTCTCGATAGGTGGTCATGGGCCTTTTGATCAGCAGTAGGCGTTGCAGTCCTATGAAAGCCAGGGTGTGGGTACTGCAACCGATACATGTAGCCTGTATCACGACAGTCATGCTGCACACCCACTCACCGACCGGCAAGCCGTTCGTGCTGAGCATCGCAACGACCGACCACGGGAGAACAAGACAAGTTGACAAGTCTGCTACGCCTAGATTCACCACAAAGGCGTTGGTGGTGGTACGGAGTTTCTTGGACAAAATCACGGCCAGGATAACCAGACTGTTGCCCACGGTTCCAAGCAGGATCACGATCAGAAACATGATGGCCACTATGACTCTCTGGGTGTAGTCGTTGAATTCAAATGGCGGGTTCTCCGTCGAATTGTTAAAAGAGCTGTTTGTCAGATCCCCATCCATATTGCAAGATAATGTGAAACCCGCTTAAACAAAGATTTCTGAAAATAGTCTTGTATTACCAGGCTAAATATTAATAGCAGACTTTTACTTTTGTTTTTAGTTCAGCATACATGTAAAGCAGGAAAATTGTGTATTAATTTTTTTCCAACATCCGCAAACACCAGGAAAAAGTATACATGTATGACTGTTTCCTCTTTAGGCCAAAAAAAATAATACATGTACATCCGCTTCCGGTTTCCCGACCGACCCTATTTTTAGGCTGCGACCCTAAACATTTTATTGGCAATTCACACACACAAAAAAAAATAATGATTGAAAAAAAATAATAGAAATAAAAACATGTTGTCTTTTCTGTCTTCACAAAATACCTCTCAACAACCATATGTTGATTACAACAACATCAAGTGGAATTAGCAGAACTTGAAGAGCACCATTGTTTATAAATCACATTACAAAAAGCTAACCTTGCCAGTTGTCTCTATTTTTATGACATTAATTTGTTATCTACATACACTTGCATACATTTTTTATTTATACAAGTTTTTAGTATTTTCAGATTTGTCGGTTTTAAGTTATTTTAATTATTTGTTTTTTGTTTTAAATGTTACTTCTAATGCTATTTTGTTTTAGACCCCATTTGTCTCTATGTGCTTCTATTGACTTTTGGACTAAATCTTCAACTATGTACATGTGTGTAACAACATGTCCAACAACCCCATCTTCTCACCACCGATTATAATACTAAAAGCACTTGTATAAATATTTTACATATTTTACAATACATGTACATAATACAGTCGACTCTCGTTAGTACAAACTCTGTTAATACAAAATTCTGGTTATAACAAACATAAAGCCTTAGTCCTGACTGTGTCAAGTGACACATTTTTGGAAGTTTCCGTGAATCCACCCCAATGTATTCCAATTTGTAGTTGGTTTGCAATTGGGAGAATCGGTGAATGGGTGACAACCGGCTGAATGGGAGACAACCGGCTGAATGGGAATCATATCCCGAATGCTGATTTCAGGATTGTGTCACGAGACTGCAGTTATGGGCACATTTCAAAATATGACTCAGCAACTTTGGAATTTAAATCAACATCCAGAATATTGTGTTTATGTTTGTTGTGGTTTGTCGAAATATACAGCATTCACAGAGCTAAAACTTCATCAGGTTAGTTATGAAGCAACCGTCTTTAGATTTTGAGCGGTTTTGTTGGTTCAAATGAAAAAAAAATCACAAATTACACATGGTCTACAAAACTACCTTTTGTACATTGTGTAGTTTTATCCGAGTCGAGGCCACATCAGGCACATTGTGAAATTGATGCATGGATATGAGAGTATTAAACTGCTCAGCCGTTGTTGCAGCTGTTAGAGTTCAAAATAATTATCCAGATTAGATTTCTTCGTAGTGGCGTACCGATTTTAAATAAAGTACGATTGTTACACAAAAAGAAAGTGGATACGATCAGGCCTATAATCCAAAAGATTTTAACACAAAAATCATATTCAAAAATGCAAAGTCCACAAAGTTTTTAGGTGACCACACCGCCCCCTCCACAGAATGGCCTTTCACCCGATATCATCGTCTTCAGAAAATCCGAGGGTTCTGGGATGTCCTCCCACTTGCGGCGCAGGATGCAACGGAAGACGGTCTTGAAGTCCCGGTGTTTGGTGGCATAGATGAGCGGATTGACACAACTGTTGAACAGCAGGACCGCAAATGTGAAGGGAAAGAATGGGCTGCAGGCATCAACCGCATCATAGAGGATGCAGATCATTAACGGACTCACGCACAGCATGAATGCACAGACAATGTAGAACATGTTTTTGGTGATCTCGGTCTGATGGCGACTCAAGTGGGATTGGCTGAGTGTTCCTTCTGTAGATGTGGATGCGTGGTTACTACCGGTATTCACGGTAGTTACCGATTCTGACACCACAGTCATGTGGGGGGCTGAGGATTTAGGCGCAGTCATCTTCTTAGCGTGATCGTGGAGTTGCTTCCAGATGAGAACATAACAGACGATGATTGTTATGAGAGGGATAGGGTAGTACCCAATAACTACGATGAGATCGTAGGCATTGGCGCGAGGATGGTCAGATGGATATCCACAGATATGGTACTTCTTGTCGTATCCTACTGCACCCACGTCTGCGAGTGGTGGGATGATGGTGACAAGCAGTGGGATAGACCATGTCACTGCCAGCCATACGGCAATCTTCCTCGGCGTGTAGATGTCTCGATAGGTGGTCATGGGCCTTTTGATCAGCAGTAGGCGTTGCAGTCCGATGAAAGCCAGGGTGTACAAACTGCAACCGATAGATGTAGCCTGTATCACGACAGTCACGCTGCACACCCACTCACCGACCGGAAAGCCGTTCGTGCTGAGAATTGCAACAAACGACCATGGGAGAACAAGACAAGTTGACAAGTCTGCTATGCCTAGGTTCACCACAAAGGCGTTGGTGGTGGTACGGAGTTTCTTGGACAAAATCACGGCCAGGATAACCAGACTGTTGCCCACGGTTCCAAGCAGGATCACGATCAGAAACATGATGGCCACTATGACTCTCTGTTTGTAGTCGTTGAATTCGAATGGCGGGTTCTTCGTCGATTTGTTAAAAGAGCTGTTTGTCAGATCGCCATCCATATTGCAAGATAATGTGAAACCCGCTTAAACAAAGATTTCTGAAAATTGTCTTGTATTACCAGGCTAAATATTAATAGCAGACTTTTACTTTAGTTCTTAGTTCAGCATACATGTAAAGCCTAGTGAGGTTTGGGAAAAGCATTGGGCTAGCATGTCCTTTTAAACAATTGATCAGGATGGTGTACCAATTCGTTTTCCAACATTCGAGCTGTACACACAGTCACGCAAATACCGGCAAAAAGTATACATGTATGACTGTTTCCTCTTTATGCCAAAAAAAATAATACATGTACTTCTGCTTTCGGTTACCCGACCGACCCTATTTTTTGGCTGCGACCCTAAAAATGTTATCGCCAATTCACAAAAAAAAATAAAAAAATGATTGAATAAATAGAAATAAAAACATTTTGTCTTTTCTGTCTTCACAAAATACCTCTCAACAACCCTTTTGCATCAAAAAAATGCTTGTATATATTTGTTTTCTTACATACATCGCTATTTTTTACAAAAGAAACCTCCGTTATTTTTACAAATTCGCTTCGCGATATAACTACTTCGCAATTCGATGTCACGGTGACTATAATCACGTGCATTAACCTTGCTCAATGAGGCGATGACTGGTTCCCGCCGCGCCGCGCATGGGCCAATTAAGAAGACATGATGAAATGGGGTAACTAGTCTGTGCACGGCTATGCGATCGATAGCGCTAGCATGGCTATGCATTGGGCACGTGCACTGTCATGTCAACTTGTCGGATTTGACATCGTAAAAATGCCAAGAAAACACCGATTGAGAAGGAACATTTTTGCAAGTTAATTCACAGAATTGATCTAGCTTGTCTGTGTATGTATTTTCCATGTTCAAGAGTTCATTTTGAGATCACACTACTGGTATTTGACGTGATACAATGCAGCGTGTTTCCCAAAATTTTCGTTTCGACCGTAAAAACGAGGTCTGTTGACCACGGGCCACACATGCACAGTGCATCACACACTTCGGAGTTTTGGCCAGCTTCCCGTCTTGACTAGCGTTGTGCATATGGTGCGAACGACCTGAATTTTCCATTATTTTTTTTTTACGAATTATCAGGTTTTATTCACTTTTTTGTGGCCATTTTGTGTATAGCTTTCGTAGTGCAATGGAAATAGTTCAGGCTAAACCTTCGCATATAATTGAATACCCTATTCAAAATTTCCGACCAACCGACCGACCCTATTTTTGAAAGGCATGTAATCGGAAGCAGAACTATTTTTTTTTTGGCCTTAGCATTGAAAGTTCTGTCCTTACAATTTTTTTTTTAAGAATCTGCCACATGCATTCATTTTTGGCCGTCTGATGTCTGGAAAAAGTACATGTACCGGTTAAGAGGCTGAGAACTTTCACGATTAAAGTGGGCTACTTTTTGATCAGATTTTCCCCATTTTTCCCCAGATTTTGTTTGTTATTGTATAAGTTTCAAGGGAATTAGTCAGTCAAGTGGCTTATGAACTATTGAAAGTCAAGTGAAGAATGTGTAATACTTTCCTGTGCTAAGCACTGAAACTTTCATGTGAGTGGTCATCACATCTTATAAATTGTCATCCATTTGCACTATGTGGTATTATTACTTGACTTGACCCCAGACGATACACTCCTGTCATACATGTATGTGCTTACATGTACTGGTAGGATATCGTCTGAGTTGTTTTTTGTTCTTCATGTTCTTACCTTGTAATTAGGCTTGGGCAACAAGCATCATTGGGTTTTCCCTGTAACAGATGTACTGTCCTTGGCTCCTTGCTATTTTTGAGTTTCATCCCCAAATTACAACATGTAGGTTTGTTTTAGGCTGCAATTTTTCAAGCGATACAAAAGTTATTCAATTTTGAATGAGACAGCGACAGAATGAAGATGAGCTCAAATTTAGTTATGGATTACTGTTTAATAAAATTGAATTATTTGCAGCCTGACAATAATCAACCGCATGTTCAATAATGCTAGATTCACACATTCCCGATCTTTAAGCTGAATCGCCGCGAATACCAATTCTTGAGTAAAATCGTGGATAGTTCTCGGCTGCCTCTGATGATTCTGTTTAGTTCGGTGAAAGATTATTAAAGATCGGGAAGTGCCCCGACAAATTTGAACATGTTCAAAATTGTCGGGGTGATTCGGGAACCAATTTCAATTCTTGGTTTGTTCTGGTTGTATTCATAACTAATTTGGGAATGTGTGAGCCTAGCATTTCTTCCCTAGCACTTACAAAATAAGAATGCAAATTGGTCTTCACAGCCTATGAGGGTAACTCGTTTTTCCATGATGAATGCAAAGGCATGCGCGAGTAGGCATGATGGATAGGGTTCTTTTTTTTCCCCGAATAAAACACAAAGGGAAACTACCTACATGTGTGCATACCGGTAATATTTTTTAAGTTGAAAGAAAAAATGAGAGGAGGGAGATTTTGAAGATGCCACCTCCGGATTTCCATACCAGAGCTCTACCAACTGAGCTACAACTGCAGTCTGCAACTGCAACTAGTTAAGTTGGTAGAATACTGGATCTGTAATCTGGAGGTTGCTTGCAGGCTCAAATTCGACCAGTCAATTTCTTTGTTCCACTGTATAATCCATTTTTTTCTCAACTTTTTTTTAAAAACATCTATTACAGAGAGCAAACAACATGGATTAAATGAGGAATTTGAAATCCTGTCATTTTTACATCGGTTTGTTAATGTTTTTATGGCTGCGACGTGGTCAAGCATTTGTGGATGAATAATAAAATTCCCTTCATGGCTTAACCTTACAAATGCAGAATCTTGTTGATTTGAGCCTGGTAAGGGGATGTACATATATCAGGGGCGGATCCAGGATTATTTGCAGGTGGGGGTTTTCATCAGCAAAAGCAATCTGAAAATGTAGACAGGTTTTTTTTTTCTCCGGACACTTGGCCTCCATAAAATCACAATCTGTGGGGGGGTTTCTAAGCTGCCCCTATTTTGAACAGGCGGACATTATACCAGTATAATTTTTTTGTCACTATATTTCAATAGGGGGCGCTGTTCAAATTCAACAATTATTAGCACTGTACAAATAACCCCTATCTAAGGGCAAGTTCGCGCAAGGACTATAGTTAACCATTGGTCGACTAACGCTTACCCGAACTCTGTCTAGTCGACGATGGTTAACTACGCTAGTCGACTATTTGGAACCAACCTACTGGGGTTGGTTGCTTTGCTGGTAACCATAGCCGCGCGCATTCATATCGTACAGCAGGGAGCCAGGATCCAGACGTTTTGTAATGACATTTTGACCAGCGTTCGACTAGAGACGTTCGCACTTTGCTATTAGTGCGCAGGCGTAAGGTACGTCACAAATCAACCACCAGTCGACTAATGGTCCTTGCCCGAACTTGGCCTTAGCTGCCCCTGTCCGTATTTTGAACAGGCGGACATTATACCAGTATAATTTTTTTTTTGGGGGGGGGGGAAATTGCATTATTTGTTGGAATTTCTATGAATTTTTTTACATAGCTGGGGGAGGGGGGGGGGGGGGGTTGACCCCCAAACCCCCTCTGGATCTGTGCCTGTATATATACATACCGTATGTTGATCAAGGCTGCCGCGTGAAAGTGAAAATAGTAATTGAGGACCATCAGAAAGAAATTACAACAACATCAAGTGGAGTTAGCAGTACTTGAAGAGCACCATTGTTTATAAATCACATTACAAAAAGCTAACCTTGCCAGTTGTCTCTATTTTTATGACATTAATTTGTTATCTACAAACACTTGCATACATTTTTTATTTATACAATTTTTAGTATTTTCAGGTTTGTTGGTTTTAAGTTATTTTAATTATTTGTTTTTTGTTTGAAATGTTACTTCTAATGCCATGAATGCTATTTTGTTTTAGACCCCATTTGTCTCTATGTGCTTCTATTGACTTTTGGACTTTTGTAGTCTCTTAACATGCTCACTTTTACATAAAAGGTAAAGTTCAACACGCGAAACAATACCTGAGATGGGCCTGCTTCCGATGTTTGTGCATGCATGAATTCTGATCGGCTGCCATTCTATGTACATGTATCTTACTTCCATTGTAATACAGTATTTTAATTGTTAAATAACTTAAAGGGAATGTACAACATTTGCTGTTGCTGCAATATTTAGAAATGGATTTGGAGGATTAGTCATTAGTATGTATAGCAAATGTTGATAAAACTGAGTTGTTTTGTAGATGCTGGAAAAACCAAGAAAACCAATCATGTTCTTGTAGTCCAGTTCCCTGACCCCACTTAAGATGAAAGGGAGCAATTTATAGTCTTTGGGGAATTGTAAGGTCAGAGAATCAGTCTAGCAGGCTGGTTATCCCTTACAGGTGTATAATCAATCGCAAACACAATGTAGATTAACAAAATATGAAAAATTAGGAGCAGCTTTTGAAAAAAGCCAGTTTTCTCCAACGCTGGTTAGCCGACCAGTATTCGAGAAACACACTTTTTCTTGAAAATGTCAGTACACCAGGAGCCCCGATTTTACAGGATGCTTTAGAATGTCATTTCCTAACAATCCAGCAAGGTTTTTCGTGGTAATTTGATAATTGCGTTTTTTGATGTTTGCAAATGTTGTATATTCCCTTTAATAGTTTTAGCCAAGTCAAGGTAACATCAGGCACATCATGAATGTTTTTCATGATGTCCTTTTAATATCTATTTTTTTTGGTCACTTTTTTAACGCTGTTTTATTTTCGTGAAGCCTTTTGATATTCTTGTATGAAACGCTTTATACAAGCATTATTATTACTATTATAATTATTAGGCCTATTACTTTTCTTTTCTTTTACAAAGCATGTCAAGTAAGCGCCAACATAAGTCTTCAACTACATGTATGTACATGTGTGTAACAACATGTCCAACAACCCCATCTTCTCACCATTGATTATAATACGAAAAGCACTTGTATAAATATTTTACATATTTAACAATACATGTACATAATATACATTTTAATTACCGGTAGATAGAGTATACAGTGTATATTTTTTGCAGCTATCCAAAAGGAGCCGACCAAATTATTGTGAAAAGCTTACTTGGTTTAAAAATAGTAATGACACTAAACTCCCTGGGTAATTATTCCTTCTGGCGTGCTGTCACTTTTGAAGAAAATAACAAAAGAAGGTCATTTCCAAAGATGTGTCAAGTGACACATTTTTGGAAGTTTCCGTGAATCCACCCCAATGTATTCCAATTTGTAGTTGGTTTGCAATTGCGCGACTCTGTGAATGGTTGACAAACGGCTGAATGAGAATCATTCCCTGAATGCTGGTTTTGGGATTGTGTCATGGGAGGGCGCAATTGAAAATATGACTTGGCAACTTTGGAATTTAAATCAACATGCAGAATATTGTGTTTATGTTTGTTGTGGTTTGTCGAAATATACAGCATTCACAGAGCTAAAACTTCATCAGGTTAGTTATGAAGCAACCGTCTTTAGATTTTGAGCGGTTTTGTTGGTTCAAATGGAAAAAAAATCACAAATTACACATGGTCTACAAAACTGCCTTTTGTACATTGTGTAGTTTTATCCGAGTCGAGGCCACATCAGGCACATTGTGAAATTGATGCATGGATATGAGAGTATTAAACTACTCAGCCGTTGTTGCAGCTGTTAAAGTTGAAAATAATTATCCAGATTAGATTTCTTCCTAGTGGCATACCGATTTTAAATATAGTACGATTGTTACACAAAAAGAAAGTGGATACGATCAGGCCTACATGTATAATCCAAAAGATTTTAACACAAAACCCGCTTAAACAAAGATTTCTGAAAATTGTCATATATTACCAGGCTAAATATTAATAGAAAACTTTTACTTTTGTTCTTAGTTCAGCATACATGTAAAGCCTAGTGAGGTTTGGGGAAAGCATCGAGCTAGCATGTCCTTTTAAACAATAAACAGAATGGTGTACCGGTACCAATTCATCGGAAAATCAGCAATCACCACAACACCTGGGCTTTCCTTGAAATACTTGAGTCCTGGCAATTAATCTGGTTGTGTCTTTTGAGTTCCCAGTCAGCATCGCAGCTCGGTTCCGCTCTGCAATTTGCACTATGGTAGTACGTGTACGCACATACATTGTACATTTGATAGGTAATCACACTCCAACTTCCAAGGGTTTTTTTTTTGGTCCCAAAATGTGTAATATTTTGGTAAAGTGGTAAATTGACACTGTTTCCTTCATGGAAACTGCATAAGGCTTCGCAAATATCGAGGGTAAAGCAGGAAATTTGTGCAACTTTCCAACATTCACGGGGCACATACCGTAGTCACGTGAACATCATGACGTTTCTATGCATATTAAAAAAAAATAAAAATTAGGCTGAAGATCCCAACAGCCTTGTGATGTCTGGAAAAAGTAAGAGGCTGATAACTTGAAATTTTACTTTAAGATAGGTCGAGAAATAAAACACCTAAAAGCTACCGTTTTGGAATGTCAGTCAGAGTTTTCCAAAGTTTTTAGATAAGTCCCTCAAATTGAGTGGCTTGTGGACTACTACATCTACATGTATTCTATGTCACTGTGTGTGGTACATATAGTGCAATGTTCCAGGCTTTCAAGTATTCCTACTTTTCCTACTTTTATAATTTTTTGTTATTCCTCCCTTATTCTCGAAATTCCTTTTTTTAGTACATTTTCCTACTTTTTTTGTCCCACAACTCCGAAAAATGAAATCTTGTTGACAATTTTTAATACAAAGTCACACAATGAAGGGCTTGGGGACAGGAGTACTGCAACTGTACTTCCAAGAGCTTAGTTACGGTAAAAATGGAGCACAATTTAGTGTTGTGACTAGTACAGAACATGCCAAATGAGGCTTATAAGATGCTGCAGGACATGGATGAGGAGCAACAAAAACTACTCCTCCAAGGTCTTACTTTCGTCCTGATTTTTTGAACATTTTAATTTGACTGTTGAAAGCCTGGTACATGTATTGATCATAATAGGCCAACATGTACTAGGTTTTAGTATACAAATATAACATGGTTTGAGGATTGACAGTCGATATTCGCTCCCTGAGGTATTGGAAGTTGACAAACTATTTGCCGAGGGAACTAGTTTGTCAACTTCCAATACTGAGGGGAGCTATTGACTGTCTACCTGAAATAAACCATGTTATATTTGTTTTACTATACCTCATACATATTCAGTTGCCGATTATTTTTTCGTTGCAGTATGCACCTTAAATAAAATCTTTCGGAGAAACTTGTCCAGCTCACCAAAAGAATAATATTGCTCAACTTCACTATTTCAGTTCGTTTGCAATACAGTAACTACTGACACAAGTTACACATTTTTGGATGTTTCTGTAAATCCTCCCCAATGCGTTCTAAGTTGCAGTTGGTTTGCCATTGGGCGAATCGGTGAATGGTTGACAAATGGCTGAATGAGAATCATTCCCTGAATGCTGGTTTCGGGATTGTGTCACGAGAGGGCACAATTTAAACTATGACTCAGCAAGTTTAGAATTGAAATCGAGATTCAGAATATTGTGCTTACATGCATGTTTGTTGTGTTTTCTTGAAACATACAGCATTCACAGAGCAAAAAAATTCACAAATTACAAATAGTCTACATATGTACACGTTCTTTACCTTCAATAGTTTTACATGTATCTGAGTCAATGTCACATCAGGCACATTGTGGGTGTCCTTCAGTAAGTTAAAATTGATGCATGGATATGAAAGTATCAAACTGCTCAGCCGTTGTTGCAGCTGTTAAAATTTAAAATGATTTTCCATAGTAGATTTCCTCCTAGTGGCGTACCGATAATAAGGAAAGCACAATTATTACACAAAAAGAAAACAGATACAGTCAGGCCTATAATCCTAACGGTTTAAAAACAAAATCATATTTTAAAATGCGAAAGTCTACAAAGATTTTAGGTGACCACACCGCCCCCACCACATCGTGGCATTTCAACCGATATCAGCGTCTTCAGGGAATCCGAGGGTTCTGGGATGTCTTCCCACTTGCGGCGCAGGATGCAACGGAAGACAGTCTTGAAGTCGCGGTGTTTGGTGGCAAAAATGAGCGGATTGACGCAACTGTTGAAGAATAGGATCACGGTGGCGTAGGGTAGGAATGGGTTTCTGTCGTCAAAGAACAGGCAGATGATAAATGGAGTCAGGCACAGCATGAAGGCACAGACAATGTAGAACATGTTCTTGTTAATCTCGGTCTGACGGCGCCTCATTTGGGATTTGCGGAGGGTTCCTTGTCTACATGTAGATGTGGATGTCTTGGCTTTGCTTTTCATGTTAGCTATCGATTCTGACACCACATTCGTGTGGGTGGTCACCAACTTGGCTGAGGATTTAGGCACAGTCACCTTCTTAGCGTGATTGCGGAGATGCTTCCAGATGAGAACATAACAGACAATGATGGTTATGAGAGGGATAGGGTATAACACAAAAGCTAAGATGATATCGTAGTCGCGGGAGCGGGGATGGTCAGACAAAAATCCACAGAGATGGTATTTCTTATTGTATCCTACCGCACCCACGTCTGCAAGTGGTGGGATGAGGGTGACAAGCAGCGGGATAAACCAAGCCACTGCCAGCCACAAGGCAATCTTCCTCGGTGTGTAGATGACTTGATGGATAGTCATAGGCCGTTTGATCAGCAGTAGGCGTTGCAGTCCGATGGAGGCCAGGGTGTACGTGCTACAACCGAAAGCTGTAGCCTGTACCACGGCAGTCACGCTGCACACCCACTCACCGACTGGCAAGCCGTTTGTGCTGAGTGTCGAGACGACTGTCCATGGGAGAACAAGACAAGTTGACAAGTCCGCTACGCCTAGGTTCACAATGAAGGCGTTGGTGGGGGTACGGAGTTTCTTGGACAAAATCACCGCCAGGATGACCAGACTGTTGCCCACGGTTCCAAGCAGAATCACGATCAGATACATGACGGCCAATATGACTCTCTGGGTGTAGTCATTGAATTCAAATGGCGGGCTCTCCGTCGAATTGTTGAAAGAGCTGTTTGTCAGATCCCCATCCATATTGCAAGATAATGTGAAACCCGCTTAAACAAAGATTTCTGAAAATAGTCTTGTATTACCAGGCTAAATAGTAATAGCAGACTTTTACTTTTGTATTTAGTTCAGCATACATGTAAAGCAGGAAATTGTGTATTAATTTTTTTCCAACATCCGAGCTGTACACACAGTCACGCAAACACCAGGAAAAAGGATACATGTATGACTTTTTCCTCTTTGGGCCAAAAAAAATAATACATGTACTTCTGCTTCCGGTTTCCCGACCGACCCTATTTTTAGGCTGCGACCCTAAAAATTTTATTGGCAATTCACCAAAAAAAAAAAAAAAATAATGATTGAAAAAAATAATAGAAATAAAAACATGTTGTCTTTTCTGTCTTCACAAAATACCTCTCAACAACCATATGTTGATTACAACAACATCAAGTGGAATTAGCAGAACTTGAAGAGCACCATTGTTTATAAATCACATTACAAAAAGCTAACCTTGCCAGTTGTCTCTATTTTTATGACATTAATTTGTTATCTACATACACTTGCATACATTTTTTATTTATACAATTTTTAGTATTTTCAGATTTGTCGGTTTTAAGTTATTTTAACTATTTGTTTGTTGTTTTAAATGTTACTTCCGATGTTTGTGCATGCATGAATTCCGATGAGCTGCCATTCTATGTACATGTATCTTACTTCCATTATAATACAGTATTTTAATTGTTAAATAACTTAAAGGGAATGTACAACATTTGCTGTTGCTGCAATGTTTAGAAATAAAAGGATTTGGAGGATTAGTATGTATAGCAAATGTTGATAAAACTGAGTTGTTTCACTTTTTGGGATTGTAGATGCTGGAAAAACCTAGAAAACCAATCATGTTCTTGTAGTCTGGTTCCCTGACCCCACTTAAGATGAAACGGAGCAATTTATAGTCTTTGGGGAATTGTAAGGTCAGAGAATCAGTTTAGCAGGCTGGTAATCCTTTACAGGTGTGTAATCAATCGCAAACAAAATGTAGAATAACAAAATATGAAAAATGTAGGAGCAGCTTTTGATAAAAGCCAGTTTTTCTCAAACGCTGGTCGGCCGACCAGTGTTGGAAAAACAAACGTTTTCTTGAAAATGTCAGTACACCAGGAGCCCCGATTTTACAGGATGATTTAGAATGTCATTTCCTAACAATCCAGCAAGGTTTTTCGTGGTACAGTCAAACCTGTACAGAAAGACCGCTCAAGGGAAACAATAAAAGCGGTCTTTATAGACAGGTGGTCTCTCTGTACAGGTTGGAAATATTTGCCCTCCCTTTGGCTTCCCTAACTTAATGCGGGGGGTCATTACAGTCTAAACCTGCCTCATCCAAAAGTACATGTATGTTCTTCTTTCCTTTAGTTATTTGTTTAAAACATAACTATTTCTTTTAAAAAAAATAATGAAATTAAAAGTCATAAATGTGAATGATTTCAAGTCATGCACATGCCTACTTGCGTAGTGCATTTTGTTGAATGGAGCTCAGCTATCCAAGCTGCTGCACTGACAATAGGAGCATTGTTGATGCGACCACAGACCCAGATTAAGCTTGAAAATGTCCTGGAAATCCTGTGGTTGAGTTACTAATCCTCTGAAGTGGTTTATGTGGCTCTTGCTTTTTCTTTTGAGTAAGGAATCAACCATTGTACAGAAGCAAGTGGGCATTTTGTGGTCGCTTTTCATGGCTTGCGGTCGTTCTGTACAGACTTAAGCATTCCTACAGAAGCAAAATGTGCGGTCGCTGGTCGCGTTAAGCAGGTGGTCTTTCTATACAGGACTTAAGTAATGGGATTTGTCAGCGGGGGATTTTTAAATGGTCGTTACGGACAGGTGGTCTTTGTGTACAGTGGGTCACTAAGGCAGGTTTTACTGTAATTTGATAATTGCGTTTTTTGATGTTTGCAAATGTTGTATATTCCCTTTAATAGTTTTATCCAAGTCAAGGTAACATCAATCTCATCATGGATGTTTTTTATGATGTCCTTTTATCTATTTTTTTTTTGTCACTTTTTTAATGCTGTTTTATTTTTGTGAAGCCTTTTGATATTCTTGTATGAAACGCTTTATACAAGCATTATTATTACTATTATAATTATTAGGCCTATTACTTTTCTTTTCTTTTACAAAGCATGTAAAGTGAGCGCCAACATAAATCTTCAACTACGTACATGTGTGTAACAACATGTCCAACAAACCCATCTTCTCACCATCGATTATAATACTAAAAGCACTTGTATAAATATTTTACATATTTAACAATACATGTACACGTACAAACATGTAATATACATTTTAATTACCGGTAGATAGAGTATACAGTGTATATTTTTTGCAGCTATCCAAAAGTAGCCGACCAAATTATTGTGAAAAGCTTACTTGGTTGAAAAATAGTAATGACACTAAACTACCTGGGTAATTATTCCTTCTGGCGTGCTGTCACTTTTGAAGAAAATAACAAAAGAAGGTCATTTCCAAAGATGTGTCAAGTGACACATTTTTGGAAGTTTCTGTGAATCCACCCCAATGTATTCTAATTTGTAGTTGGTTTGCAATTGGGAGAATCGTTGAATGGGTGACCACCGGCTGAATGGGAATCATATCCCAAATGCTCCACAGAATGTCACTTCACCCGATATCAGCGTCTTCAGGAAATCCGAGGGTTCTGGGATGTCCTCCCACTTGCGGCGCAGGATGCAACGGAAGACGGTCTTAAAGTCACGGTGTTTGGTGGCGTAGATGAGTGGATTGACGCAACTGTTGAAGAGCAGGATCGCCAAGGCGTAGGGTAGGAACGGGTCGCTGTCGTCATAGAACAGGCAGATGGCATACGGAGTCAGGGAAAACATGAAGGCACAGACGATATAGAACATGTTCTTGGTGATCTCGGTCATATGGCGACTCATCTGGGATTTGCAGAGGGTTCCTTGTGTAGATGTGGATGCCTGGCTACTATTCACGGTAGCTACTGATTCTGACACCACAGTCATGTGGGCAGTCATCAGCTTGGCAGAGGATTCAGGAGCAGTCACCTTCTTAGCGTGATCGTGGAGATGCTTCCAGATGAGAATATAACAGACAATGATGGTTATGAGAGGGAGAGGGTATAACCCAATAGCTATGATGAAATCGTAGTCATTGGAGCGGGGATGGTCAGACAAAAATCCACAGAGATGGTATTTCTTATTGTATCCTACCGCACCCACGTCTGCAAGTGGTGGGATGAGGGTGACAAGCAGCGGGATAAACCAAGCCACTGCCAGCCACAAGGCAATCTTCCTCGGTGTGTAGATGTCTCGATAGGTGGTCATGGGCCTTTTGATCAGCAGTAGGCGTTGCAGTGCGATGAATGCCAGGGTGTACATACTGCATCCAATAGCTGTAGCCTGTACCACGGCAGTCACGCTGCACACCCACTCACCGACTGGCAAGCCGTTCGTGCCGAGCATCGCAACGACCGACCACGGGAGAACAAGACAAGTTGACAAGTCCGCTACGCCTAGGTTCACCACAAAGGCGTTGGTGGTGGTACGGAGTTTCTTGGACAAAATCACGGCCAGGATAACCAGACTGTTGCCCACGGTTCCAAGCAGGATCACGATCAGAAACATGATGGCCACTATGACTCTCTGGGTGTAGTCGTTGAATTCAAATGGCGGGTTCTCCGTCGAATTGTTAAAAGAGCTGTTTTTCAGATCCCCATCCATATTGCAAGATAATGTGAAACCCGCTTAAACAAAGATTTCTGAAAATAGTCTTGTATTACCAGGCTAAATATTAATAGCAGACTTTTACTTTTGTATTTAGTTCAGCATACATGTAAAGCAGGAAAATTGTGTATTAATTTTTTTCCAACATCTGAGCTGTACACACAGTCACGCAAACACCAGGAAAAAGGATACATGTATGACTTTTTCCTCTTTAGGCCAAAAAAAAATAATACATGTACATCTGCTTCCGGTTTCCCGACCGACCCTATTTTTAGGCTGCGACCCTAAAAATTTTATTGGCAATTCACACACACACACAAAAATAATGATTGAAAAAAATAATAGAAATAAAAACATGTTGTCTTTTCTGTCTTCACAAAATACCTCTCAACAACCATATGTTGATTACAACAACATCAAGTGGAATTAGCAGAACTTGAAGAGCACCATTGTTTATAAATCACATTACAAAAAGCTAACCTTGCCAGTTGTCTCTATTTTTATGACATTAATTTGTTATCTACATACACTTGCATACATTTTTTATTTATACAATTTTTAGTATTTTCAGATTTGTCGGTTTTAAGTTATTTTAATTATTTGTTTGTTGTTTTAAATGTTACTTCTAATGCTATTTTGTTTTAGACCCCATTTGTCTCTATGTGCTTCTATTGACTTTTGGACTTTTGTAGTCTCTTAACATGCTCACTTTTACATAAAAGGTAAAGTTCAACACGCGAAACAATACCTGAGATGGGCCTGCTTCCGATGTTTGTGCATGCATGAATTCTGATCGGCTGCCATTCTATGTACATGTATCTTACTTCCATTGTAATACAGTATTTTAATTGTTAAATAACTTAAAGGGAATGTACAACATTTGCTGTTGCTGCAATATTTAGAAATGGATTTGGAGGATTAGTCATTAGTATGTATAGCAAATGTTGATAAAACTGAGTTGTTTTGTAGATGCTGGAAAAACCAAGAAAACCAATCATGTTCTTGTAGTCTGGTTCCCTGACCCCACTTAAGATGAAAGGGAGCAATTTATAGTCTTTGGGGAATTGTAAGGTCAGAGAATCAGTCTAGCAGGCTGGTTATCCCTTACAGGTGTATAATCAATCGCAAACACAATGTAGATTAACAAAATATGAAAATTAGGAGCAGCTTTTGAAAAAAGCCAGTTTTCTCCAACGCTGGTTAGCCGACCAGTATTCGAGAAACACACTTTTTCTTGAAAATGTCAGTACACCAGGAGCCCCGATTTTACAGGATGCTTTAGAATGTCATTTCCTAACAATCCAGCAAGGTTTTTCGTGGTAATTTGATAATTGCGTTTTTTGATGTTTGCAAATGTTGTATATTCCCTTTAATAGTTTTAGCCAAGTCAAGGTAACATCAGGCACATCATGAATGTTTTTCATGATGTCCTTTTAATATCTATTTTTTTGGGTCACTTTTTTAACGCTGTTTTATTTTCGTGAAGCCTTTTGATATTCTTGTATGAAACGCTTTATACAAGCATTATTATTACTATTCTAATTATTAGGCCTTTTACTTTTCTTTTCTTTTACAAAGCATGTAAAGTGAGCGCCAACATAAATCTTCCACTACATGTATGTACAGGTGTGTAACAGCATGTCCAACAACCCCATATTCTCACCATCGATTATAATACTAAAAGCACTTGTATAAATATTTTACATATTTAACAATACATGTACATAATATACATTTTAATTACCGGTAGATAGAGTATACAGTGTATATTTTTTGCAGCTATCCAAAAGGAGCCGACCAAATTATTGTGAAAAGCTTACTTGGTTGAAAAATAGTAATGACACTAAACCCCCTGGGTAATTATTCCTTCTGGCATGCTGTCACTTTTGAAGAAAATAACAAAAGAAGGTAATTTCCAAAGATGTGTCAAGTGACACATTTTTGGAAGTTTCCGTGAATCCACCCCAATGTATTTCAATTCGTAGTTGGTTTGCAATTGGGAGAATCGGTGAATGGTTGACAACCGGCTGAATGGGAATAATAATAATAATAATAATTTGGGAGGCTAATCATCCTTACTCGCAGCTGGTATGCTGAATTGCGAAGGACGCGGCTACAACGTGGTCGGGCCGCTGGCACGTAAAGGCGCCTATGGCTGCCGGCCACATCGACCCATATATGACCACGGAGCACAGCCTGAGATCGAAAGTGTTTGATTTTTCCGGAGGGAGGAAAACCGGAGGGCCCGGAGAAAAACCCTCGTGGCACAGGAGAGAACCAACGCACAACTCTACTCACATGCGATCCGCGGCCAGGATTCAAACCGTGGTCACCTTGGTGAGAGGGGAGTGCTTTACGCACAAGCCACCCATGCCACATGCTGATTTCGGGATTGTGTCACGAGACTGCAGTTATGGGCACATTTCAAAATATGACTCAGGAACTTTGGAACTTTGTTGTGTTTTTGTTTAAAAATATACAGCATTCACAGAGCTAAAATTTCATCAGGTTAGTTATTAAGCATCCGTCTTTAGTTTTGAGCACTTTAGTTGGTTCAGATGAAAAAAAATCACAAATTACATTGGTCTACATGTAATCTACCTTTAGTAGTTTGATCTCAGTCAAGGCCACATCAGGCACATTGAGGATATCCTTCAGTAAAGTTCAGTTTTGTTGCATGGATACCGGTACATGTATGAGAGTATGAAACAGCTCAGCTGTTGCTCCTAGTGGCATATCGATATTAAATAAAGCACAATTGTTACACAAAAAGAAAGCGGATACAGTCAGGCCTATAATCCAAAAGATTTGAACACAAAATCATATTTAAAAATGCAAAAGTCCACAAAGGCTTTAGGTGACCACACTGCCCCCTCCACAGAATGGCCTTTCACCCGATATCAGCGTCTTCAGGAAATCCGAGGGTTCTGGGATGTTCTCCCACTTGCGGCGCAGGATGCAACGGAAGACGGTCTTGAAGTCACGGTGTTTGGTGGCGTAGATGAGCGGATTGACACAACTGTTGAAGAGCAGGATCGCAAGGGCGTAGGGTAGGAATGGGTCACTGCTGTCATTAAACAGGCAGATAGCATACGGAGTCTGGCAAATCATGAAGGCACAGACGATATAGAACATGTTCTTGGTGATCTCGGTCATATGGCGACTGATCTGGGATTTGCAGAGGGTTCCTTGTGTAGATGTGGATGCGTGGTTACTATTCACGGTAGCTACTGATTGTGACACCACAGTCATGTGGGTGGTCATCAACTTGGCTGAGGATTTAGGCACAGTCACCTTCTTAGCGTGATTGCGGAGATGCTTCCAGATGAGAACATAACAGACAATGATGGTTATGAGAGGGATAGGGTATAACCCAAAAACCAGGATGAGATCGTAGTCGTGGGAGCCGGGATGGGTGGATGGGAATCCACAGAGATGGTATTTCTTGTTGTACCCTACCGCACCCACGTCTGCGAGTGGTGGGATGAGGGTGACAAGCAGCGGGATACACCAAGCCACTGCCAGCCACATGGGGATCTTCCTTGGCGTGTAGATGACATGATGGGCAGCCTGCCATTTGATCAGCAGTAGGCGTTGCAGTCCGATGAACGCCAGGGTGTACATACTGCATCCAATAGATGTAGCCTTTGCCACGACAGTCACGCTGCACACCCACTCACCGACTGGCAAGCCGTTCGTGCTGAGCGTCGCAACAACCGACCACGGGAGAACAAGACAAGTTGACAAGTCAGCTATGCCGAGGTTCACAACGAAGGCGTTGGTGGTGGTACGGAGTTTCTTGGACAACATCACCGCCAGGATGACCAGACTGTTGCCCACGGTTCCCAGCAGGATCACGATCAGATACATGACGGCCACTATGACTCTCTGGGTGTAGTCATTGAACGGTGGGCTCACCGTCAAATTGTTGAAAGAGCCGTTTGTCAGAACAGCATCCATTTTGCAAGATAATGTGAAACCCGCTTAAGCGAGGATTTCTGAAAATAGTCTTGTAGTTGTAACCTGTCACTGGTAATGCCAAATATTAATAGCAGACTTTTACGTAGCAGACTTTGGGCTAGCATACACTTGATGTTCTTTTAAATGATTGGGATGGGATACCAATTCATTGGAATATCGGCAATCACTACAACTCCCTGGCTTTCCTTGAAATTCTTGAGTCCTGGCAATTAACCTGGTTGTGTCCTTCGAGTTCCCAGTCGGCATCGCAGCTCGGTTCCGCTCTGCAAGTTGCACTATGGTAGTACATGTACATGTTCATTGTACAGTCGTTAGGTTATTGTTCTTATTTGCTTTTCTCTGTACCCAAAAGTGTAATATTTTGGTTAACCTATAAATAGACACTGTTTCCTTTCATGGAAACTGTATAAGGTTTCGCAAATATTGAGGGTAAAGCAGGAAATTTGTGCAACTTTCCACACATTCACGGGGCACATACATGTACCGTAGTCATGTAAACATGAAATATCTATCCATCCTATATTAAAAGATCCTACGCTGTCTGATGTCTGTCTGTCTGTCTGTGTGATGTCTGATGTCTGTGTGTCACGTTTTTTGTAAAAGACCTAAAAAGTGTGCGCAAGTACAAAATGCAATGGTTAATGGAGAGGCTTGGTTATATGTCCCGGTATGCCATGCCCCTATGCCCCAATTTCACTGACCTGTGAACATGTTGAAATCACAGTTGGCACAGGAAAAAAATGATTCATTTTTTAATTTTTTTGTTTTGCATTTTTGGCCAATTTGAATCTCTCAGACTTGGAATAGTTAAACAACATTATCTCTATGAAAACACTCCAAAGCGTTTCTTTGAGATTTTGAATAGTAAAATATTACAACATTATCTCTATGAAATCACTCAAAAATGTTCTTGCATTTCAAAAGCTGACTAAACAATCATGACGATGAACCCAGTCTCAAAAATACGTCAATTGAGGGCGGGTGCCGCACATCATTCCGCTAGTATTAAAAAAAAATTAAATCTGCAAGGTGCGTTTTGGGCTGAAAATCCCAACAGCCTTCTGACTTCTGAAAGAAGTAAGAGGCTGAGAACTTTAAATATATAATTTACCATAAAATCAGGATGATTTAAAAAGTATATTAATGATACAAATTTATCGATATCCAATCAGCTGTGTTCACTCACATGTCCTTAATTTTTTTTTTAAACCCAGAAATTGTCGGAGAGGTTCAACTGAAGAAGTATGGGAAATTCCTGGAGGACTACGCCACTCAGCTCAAGGGCATTGAGGATGCCTTGGACAGCTCCGTCGGTGATGCCTGGGACTTCACTCTCGATCCCATCTCCTTACAAGTAAGTGTGATAGGCCTACAGGCTAAAGTCCCACAAATGTGGCTCAAATACTGGCGATCGTGCAGTGTAGGGCCCCGTTCCCTATAAGAGAACGAACTCCACTTTTAATTTATTTGACTTACCAAACTACATGTAGTTGGCGACATTCATAACAATTGAGTACATGTACATAGAGGGCAGGGTTTTGAATTTTTGAGAGAAATTTGGGGGTATAGTGATGACGACAATGACAAAACGCAACACGTAAAATAAAGATGGTTATCACCGTGATGATGTACCGTGAAAGCGCGATACCAAGCTGAATCGCACGGTACCAACCGTAAACCACGTCTGGTACGAATATAATCGCAATGTCTACCCTACGAAACTGTTTCTATTACAAAAAAGTGTAATTAGAATTGAGAGGTCATTTTTGAAAAAAAAAACCCCTTGACTCTAATTTGATCAAAACTAAAGAAGGGCCCTACACTACACGATTGCCCCAAAAATGGACTTCCTCCATATTGATAGCCACATGGCGGTGACAGTAACATTTGAGGAAAAGTTATTTTTAAGGAAATTGAAACCAGGCCTTTTTTTTACCATGGAAGATACTAACAATAACATGTAAATGTATGGTTCATAACCAGGAAAAAGTAATATGTTAAGGTGATGACCCCTAACCTTTGGAAAAATATTGCAGTAATTTTTGGACAAACTCTCTGCAAATTTCGCCTGAAAATGACAGGATAACTAGACATCTTGATATACAGCTCAGGAATTCCAAGCAGAATTGTGTGTGCATTTGCATGCATGCATGACGTCAGCTTGTCTGGTTTCTGTAGGAATTACAGCTTGCAAGCAAGCCTTTGAGCGTAGTTGGAAAAACAAATGTTGACCTTGTGGACCAAGCAATCAATTTCGCAGCAAAGAAACCAAGCCTGGTAGGCTAAAATTCCCGAGACGTTCTTTTGCGTGCGGTGCGTACATTTGTAGACTGAGTCAGGTGCGTGAATGGGAACATAAATGCTGCTGTGTGGACGGTACAAAGGCTGTGCTTTCTTATCGTGAACTACCACGCTAAGGACGTCTTGCACCAAGACTAGTGCTTGACTCATGATGGTCATGACTTCCACCCAGGCCATTGTTTTGCAAATGTAGTGCCTAAGACAAGATAAGTTTGCGGTAGCACCATGTGAATAAATCCCTTTTCTGAGTATCTGAAAAGAACCGGAGGGACTCAACATTTCGAACAGTGTGCTCTGCCCGTCGTCAGGAGAATGAGGGATTCCAGCGATGATGCCATGTTATATGTGACCCGCTCTGCAAAAATGAGTCCGATGTCGCATAGCTTGAATTCCAGCTTTTACCACTTTTAAATGGAAGCAGTGAAAATTTGCTCAAAATTTGGATTTTTTGTTCTTGTTTTATTTTGGTTGTTTGATAGTTTAAGTTCAGATATCTTACACAGAAATTTAAATATTGTAAGAAAAAGTCAAAAAAATGTATGATTTTTGGTGCTTTTCTTGGTTAGTTACATTGTATTTGTAATTTTTAAACCCTTTTTTCTTCATTGAGACATTTCTTGCTTTGCAAAAACTTGACAGAATTTAAAAAGTCACAACAGTGCAACCAAACGTCCTAGAGAGGCCCATGATATACCAAATGAGAGCTTATTTCATTCCCATTTTATTAAAAACACCATTTAGATTTCATGAACAAGTACATGTACATGAACATTGACATTGACATTGCAACTGAAGCATCATGACGCCATAGGCGACATAGTCTACACAGATTTATTTCAGATCCTCTGATGCATGACACATATTTTTTTCACGAAGGAAGTCTTAATTAACAACCACTAACAAACAGTCAAGGAATTGGGTTTATGGGTCTTCCAGAGGCCGTGAATTAAAAGGAATGGCTGATGGGTTTAGCAAGTTGAGTTCATTGCTATTATTGGATCCCTGGAAATGTTGGTCATCACTAGGAAGGCACAAGCAGTCCTTTTTAACTGGGCGTGGTAATTAATATGACAGTCCTGATCGAAGACATTCTCTCCAGAGCCCAATATGCATTGCTGAGCCCACAACTTTCTGCTAACACGGCTTCTGTCTTTCACAGTGACTCTGAGCCCAACCTGAACCAAAAAGATTTGCTTAAACTAGTGATGCAACAATATAAACGTCAATCAAATTAGGTTTTGCCCTTCACCGACGTACTGTATTCTCAGTGTGTTACATGTACCTCCCAAGGGAAAGTTGGAAAAAAATCACTCGGATGGGACTCGAACCCACGACCTCCTGCTTTCCAGTGCAGATGTCTTACCACTCAGTGGGCAAGTCGTAACTGCACTAGAAAGCAGAAGGTCGTGGGTTCGAGTCCCACCCGATTGATTTTTTCTAACTTTCACTCTGGAGGTAACACACTGAGTATACAGTGTTTATACGTCGGTGAAGGGCAAAACCTAATTTGATTTACATCACCCCGACTCAAAAATCCTATCTGATGAATAAACGTCCACGCACCGGAGCAAGACTTTTCTGCTAGTGATAAGCAGCACCATGAAACTGGCCCAAAGAGAGCACGAGAAGGTCCTCTTTCTTTAAGGGTAGGGAAAACAATTTAATAACTGCCTAACTGTATACATGTTGGGTAGTGGGGAGTAATGTCGTGCAACCCCAACCCGAAACCTAAACCGACCCGACCCGAAACCGACATCAGTTGAGAACGGGTCAGTGTTTCCATCATTTCAGTCGGGCCGGGTCGGTTTCGGTTTTGCGTTTGCAATTTTCGGGTCGGGTCAGGTTGGTTAAGCCATCTTGTGAAAAACCCGAAATACACCAAAAAACCCCCCCACGAAACAGTTCGGAAGTTCGCTCCTGAAGAAGACCAGAGCATACTGATGAGTTTGCACAGCCAACCACAGAACCACACTGCTTCTCACAAGACATTATTCCACATGGTGTTACTGCAACTCTCAGTGTACATATACTGTATTGGGATATTTTCATATCGCAATTATCATGTACATGTATCAGGCTTATCATGACCGTCCTACTGATTAGTTTGTATTTTTTTTTTCTTCATAGTTCCTGCCTTATGAGCAGACCAGTATCCTGGAGCTGATCAAGACGGATAATAAGGTCAGTTTGTCTTATTTCTTCTTGTTGGCTGGTTTGGTCTTTTGTTTGTTTTGCGTGTTTTGTGCTTTTCACTCCTTCATTTTTCCAATTCTTTACTTGCTTTAAACTTTCTCAACTTCAAAATTTGTTTATAAACATTATTTTGAATAGTGTTTTAACCCTCCTAGGCAAACATAGGGGTACATTCTGTGCAAAGTTTATATTTCAGTCAAAATCAGTTGAGTGACTGTTTTTAACAGTTAAGAACTCCCAGCATATGTACATAAAGCAGGATTGATTGCCTGTGACTGTTTATGTAGCTTGATCTATGCTTTGACTGTATGTGATTCATAAGCCAGCTGTGCCTACCAGTTGCCTGCTTTTGTCTGTTGACTGAATTTGACTAGTCACAGTGTTTGCTTGAAATGTGATCTGACTGTTGGTGACTAGCCTGTGTAAAATGCATAGCACGTATCTACCAACAATTAGGTACTCAAGGCACTAGTAATTATGTCTATTTTTAAAGACAGGTAAATGAAAATTTTTGAGAAATCTGAGACCCATTATGTAGCACCTTTTTTGCAAGGTGCTGCGCCGCGCATATTGCAGCCACTGCCAGAAACACCAGGGCAAACCCCTTCTCTAGCGATAAGTGTTACTGGGTTCTTTAACGTGCATTACACAACACACGGGACCTACGCCTTTACGTCCCACACGAAGGATGAAGAAATAATGGTAAAGTGCCTTGCTCAAGAGCACAAGCACCATGTTCCCCGTCAGGATTCGAACCATGTACCATGGCACACAAGTCGAACACCGTAACCATTGGACCTCAGCACCCCACAAGTTCATATATTGGCGAGGGGGAATGCTAGAAAAAGCTAGCTGGCTAGTTGAGTCCGGAGAACAATAAGACTATTGCTCGTTGACCTCAGATGTGACCTGACAGAGTGGAAGTTGCAGCATGTTCTTTAGATAAAGAGGGGCAGAGCCATGAAGTGTCTTGGTGTTCCTGCATGGCATTACGCCTGAGGACAGACAACAAAAGGAGCACAAAGGGGCCATTGATCCTCGAAGGAAGGTGCCTATTGTCCTCGAACGCAGGTTTGTGTGCTTAATCTATGGGAGAGTGTTATATTACAGGGACAAAGGAAAACACAAAGCCAATCCTCGGAAGCATAGCAAAAAACGACTGTGTGGTTATACTTGTGTAAGTTCATTTAAATGATCTTTTTAAAATTCTTATTTTCCTTCAGATCTTCAACAAGGTGATGACAGTATTCGCCAGTCTCTGTTGTGAGATGAACACACTGAAGCATGAGGTATAGTATACACATACCGGTATGAACTGGCAATGAGGTCACCAGTGCACCTCTATGTGCCCCGAGGGACTGTGACTTACCAGAAGAGGGTCTTATTATATACCGGTAGGACCCGGACCCTCTTTTGGTCACTCACAGGCCCGAGGGGGGCATAGGCATGCACTAGTGACCGAATTATGCCAGTCCATATGTGTTTTATAAAGTTCTCACCTCTGTCCAAAATATCAGATGAGAACAGAAACTTGTCAGGGTTTTGTAACTGAACTGTTTAATTCAACGATAAACTCATAAGCAATTCAACTATAAGCAATTCAACAATTAAAGGAACGAGGGCGCTGTCACCAGTCAAAAAATGTTAATTATAGTGCCCGATCAGGCACTACACTCCGGAAATTACGCGTGCACTAGCCTATATTAGTGAACCACATGTAACCGCGTTTCAGCCAACCAGGATAAAGAACCAGCAAGAGGTGTGTTATTATGATAAAAATTGATTATGATCAAGCTCTACTCTTGAAACCTACTTCTTGCAAGAAAAATCAGCCCATTTTATTTGTGGATTCCATTTTGCTATTTTTTTGTAGGCTGAAATGAAGTTCTACCCAGGTGTAATGTTCTATGGAGAAGGAGGTAGGCAATCTATCGACGAGTTGGCTAATGTATGATTAGGGCCCACAAAAAGTTTAAACGTTATCACAACAATGTGTATTGCACAATCTTAAAATATATGTGTGAGGCGTTCTGGCAAAATGAGACACAACAGGGTGGAGGTTAATGCGAGGGTTTGTGGGTATTAGGAAAGAGAACAAAATTCTCCTTACAATACTGTTGGTTGTTCTTGAATTAGACACTCAGTTGACAAGTCATGGCTGTTTAAAGTTTGCACTTTATCAACCTGTCATAAAGTGTAAAATACTAAGAGGAAAGGCCTTTAAAGTCAGAGTCCATCATTTGCAGCTATCCAAAAAGTAACTGGCATAATTATTGTTGAAAAACATACTTGGTTGAAAGATAGTAAGGGGTTTAAACTCCCGGTAAAATTATTATTTCTAGCAAGCTGTCATTTTGAAGAAATCAACGAAAGAAGGCCTTTCCAACGGTGCGTAGACGCACCGTTGGAAATTTCCGTTAGTAGTTCTTTTTTTATTCAGCGAAGTGCGCGCAAGCGTTGGCGCGGCGCGCACGGTTGCTATAATTTGTCGGATCAGTGCGCGACATCGCGTAGCTGCAATCGGCTCAGTGAGAACGTGTCTCAGTGAGAACGTGTCTCGGACGCTGAATTCAGGCCCAATTCAAAACATATTCAGCAACTTTTGATTTGAAGTCGAGATCCTAGAATGTTGTTTTTCTCGAAATATACAGCTGAAGCTGAGCTGAAAGTTCATCAGATTAGTTGTTCAGCACCCTTCTTTAGATTTTGAGCAAGTTTGTTGCTGCAAACGAAAAAAATGCACAAATTACAAATGATGAACTATACCTTTAAAGTTTTGAGATTTGTAGATGTGCAATGCAAATTAATTTTTCTTGAAAACACTTTTATTCCACAATTTTTACTACATTTTATATTCATTAAAATGTGTGTAGTAGACATATCAAAGGTAATACAAGTATATTTTTTTGTGTAAATACACATATAAATATCTAAAAATCGAAAAAATCACCTCGTTTCAGTTTTTTTCATTTTTCTCCACCATGGCTTTTGCCCAGTACCGTCTCATTTTGCCAGAATGCCTTACATATTATTAAATACAGAGGCAGATTCAAGCAGATTCTTCCAATCAACTTGGAACAGAGGAAGGGGTGGTTTGTGCATACAGTAGACATGAATTTGGTTAAGAAATATGATTGTTCTTTAACGATGGTTTTTGCAGAGCCCGAGACAGGTCTTGAGGAAGGTGAAGCCCAGGTACAGATGGGTCGCATGATGCCCTTCATGCAGGTAACATAACCTCTTTCTGAAAAAGGAAGACAGCAACTTTAATAGTCTCTTGAAATTCCTTATTTGCTAGAAATTATATTTGGTGTTTGCCCATTTCTGATGCATTTTATGAGCACTTTATGGGCACCATGCGGAATGGCGTGCGCATCTTAGAATAACGCAATACGCGGAGTGCGGTATGGGCCGTGGCTACATGGTTTTATGTAGCACGGCTTTTTGCCATGGATAGACCAATCAGGATTGAAGAATTCAAGTTTTTATAGACGAGGCACGAGGTCATTCTCGACCAATGAAATTACAGTATCCAAGCAAATGAGATAACAATCCAGGATGCGTGCGAAATTCCCACTGCATGCATGTGTAATACCGGTTAAAGGTAGAGTCCATCATTTGCAGCCATCCGAAAAGTAACTGGCGTAATTATTGTTGAAAAACTAACTTGGTTGAAAGATAGTAAGGAGACTAAACTCCCTGTGAAATTATTCTTTCTGGGAAGCTGTCATTTTGAAGTAATCAACGAAAGAAGGCATTTCCAACGGTGATTCTTAAGAAGCACCGTAGGAAAATTTAAATTAGTAGTTCGTTTTGTTATTCAGCGCAGCGCGCACAAGTATTCGAACGACGCACACGCGCGCGCGGTTGTTATAATTCGTCGGATCAGTGCGCGACGTCGCGCGTATAGTTGCAATTCAAAACAATTCAAAACATGATTCAGCAACTTTTGATTTGAAATTGAGATCTTAGAATGCTGTTTTTCTCGGAATGTACAGCTGAAGCTTAGCTGAAACTTCATCAGGTTAGTTGCTCAGTATCCTTCATTAGATTTTGAACTCTTTTGTTGCTTCAAACGAACAAAATGCACAAATTACAAATGATGGACTCTACCTTTAACCCCTGAATAGGCCATGAACAGTGTGCGTGTTCCATCTTGACCGTCAAGTTTGCTTGAAGATAGATTCGTTATCCCACTCGTGCTCGTTCAACATTGTGTCCAATAAACCACTCGGACTAATGCCTCATGTGGGACACAGACGCACTGCTTTATTCCGTGTTCCACTCGCGCTCATGGGATTACATGTACATTGTTTACTCACTGCTGAATCCATAAACCATAGGGTGCTCAGGCATATCAGGCAGCTCATGGGGTGGTGCAGTGACTATTAAAGGGAAAATACAACACTTGCAAACATCAAAAAATAAAACTACCAAATCATTTTGAAATACCTTGCCGGACTGTTAGTGAATGACAGTGTAAAGCATCCTGTAAAATCATGGCACCTGGTATACTGTCATTTTCAAGAAAAGTGGTATTTTTGTATCAATTTCCAAAGCTGATCGGCCGATCAGCGTTGGAAAAAACTGGCTTTTTTCAAATACTGGCCCCAATTGACCATCGCACTTGTTTGCAATCGATTACAAACCTATGAATGGGTACGAGCCAGCTAGACTAGTTCCCTGACCTTACAATTCCCCAATGTATGTAAACTGCTCTGTTTCTTCTTATATGGAGTCAGGGAACCAGACTACAGGAAAATGATTGTTTTTCTTGGTTTTTATAGCATTTTCGAACCCAAAACCTCAAAAAAGTCAGTGTAACTATATTTGCTATATATTTCCAACCCCCCAATTCCATCCATTTCTGAAAATTACAGCAAAAGCAAATGATGTATATTCCCTTTAAATGGTTGTTATCTAACAAAGTTATCACAGCTATTAAAGGACTTTTTCTTGGCCTAAAATACTGACATGATTTGACAATTCTTTCAGGAAACGTCTTGCTTCATCAACCGCTGTTACGAGGTCATCAAAACCACAATACACCAGCTGGCGTCATTGTACAACAACTCAAAGTGAGTAACATTTGTCTTATTCAAATTTGGCCAAAATGAATTTCGGAAATAGTTTTATGAATCTGGAAAGGTATTTTAACAATAAAGAAAAATCAGAGACAAGGTTAACTAGCTTGAAATTAACAAGAAGAGCAGGTTTTCAGGAAAACCCATGTGGATAAATGTTTTCAGTTATTTGGAGAAGAACCCTACATTGACTTTTCAAATGGTGCACCTTGTTTTTCTACAGGAGAGTACACTTTAATCCTTAAGCTTTTTCCCCATCCAGTATTTTTGAACGGCCTGTCATGTTGACAGAATGGTTGCTAATTCAGGGCTTGACATTCTTTGACCTTATTTCAAGTCGGATGCACAGGCACAGTCGATCTTATTTGTGGCTGTTTAAATTGATTCTCTGTGGCATTTTCTTTCTTTTTTTTCAGAACTGCGCCAAAGATAATTGATGTGACCCATGTACACTTACAAGTAAGTCAAGTTATGAAATTAAAAACATAAGAATCAACATGATCAATGGCGGTGCGTGTACAGACACTGCAGAAATTTAGAAACTGTTGTGTGGCCAGCAGCCGATTTCAGGAGAATTTTCACAACGGAGTAACTGCACTTTAATACGCCACCTTCTGTTGCAGAAGTTGCACAACATTTCACATTGTTTAACATTTTGACACATTTCACAAATTTGTTTCAGTGTGTAAGTCGGTGACTGACACAAACTATGGCGTAATTTTCACAGTCATTTTAGGTGGCGTAAGTTACGGTGTAGAAACTAAAAATGGACTATTTTAATTACTTATAATTACTTAATCATCTTGGAGCCAATCATTGCTCAACTTGTCGAGTTTGATACGAGAAACTCACAGGTGGGGCTGTTCTGAATATGCGAAATATATTCAAATATTCAATCATCAACCGAATAGTCCAATAGCTTTTCACCGGTTTGAATATTTGCAAGAAAAACACTCTACATATAATCGTAAAGTTGTGGGGCTTATTGTCAGATGCCACTGTTTGTTGACGGCGACAGCAACCTTTTCATCCTTTTATCAGGCTTAAGCCCTTGACAATTATTAAATACTTACTGCAATACATTCCAGCGGCCCATAACATCGAGCGTTGCATGCAAATTATTATTATTAATCATTTCTGGTAATGAAACCAAGGATTCCCCAAAAGCGCCCTAGGCACTGTAGCTCACAAGCCTGAAGAAACCCGTGGAGAGAAGACAATGAGAAGAAGTTACAGTTTTAGAGGTGGGAGGGAAAGCCCAAAAGAATATTCTGGGGAAAACCCATGGAATCAGGCAGGGACTGAAAACCCAATCCACATATTGGCCCAGGCGGGATTCGAACCCGGGTCAGAGCGGTGGAAGGCGAGGAAAGTACCGCTACGCCAACCTGACTCCCCCTTGCACTTTCCGTGCAATATTTGAAGGGCATGGCATGCCGTTGCAGCTGGTGTGTGTGAACTTGATAGCAGGTGATGAATATTCAAATGTTCCGTCAAAGGCAGTTTGGAATAAATGAATACTAAATAATTCGAAAATGGATGACCCAACTCACAGCTTCATTTTTGAAGGTCCTTCATGCCTCTGTCTTGTTGACCGTTGAGGGGGTGCTTGTGCAGGGAATCCGTAGTCCATGTACCCATCATCTAGATTTCTCTCTCTTATCAATCTCATGACAGACAGTGTATGAGCATCTTGGGGACATGCTGCGTGTGCTTATCACCCTGGATGAGATTGTAGCTAACCAGTCTACTCTCAAGGATCACTGGACACTCTACAAGAGGCAAGTATAAGCAAGATTCCTTCTCAAAAATTGAGTTGTTTCTTGATAGTCCGATTTTAAACTGTTTTGTCACGTTCAGACAATTGACCTATTGCGGTAGAATCGCGTTAGAATCCCGTCAACGCAGCTTGTGAAATATTGTCCAATTACATGATATATACAAATGGACGCAACATCTGAGACAAACACAACTTGGCATACAAAAATTCCATAGGGTTGTCTAAGGGGCTTTGCTAACTCGCAAACGGCGATAGGTCAATTCCTTCATCTTCTTCATTCGAGTAGCTCACCGGGATCGACTCGGGTAAAGGCAGACGGGTTAGCCAGTAGAGCCGTGCTAATCAAATGCTCAAACACGGACTATCATGATCTTCACTTGACTTAAAGCCCCTGTCACACCTTTGCGTATCTTAATTCCTTATAAGTTCCTTATCAAAAATTTTCAATACGCAGCCGTACGCTCAATTAACGTCGAAATTTTTGATCACTTTGACTTATGTGCGACGCACATCTAGCGTACAAGTAACGAATGCAGCGCATCCATTGCGTATGAGATGCGTTTAAGTTGCGTATGCAGTGCACAACATTATTTTTTGGGCTACGAATAGGTCAGTATGCATTGCACATGCCGAGCGTATTCCGGACGCACCCGACTTATGCCAACCGCATGCTTGATGCACTTCTGAGCGTATTCCCGCCGCATTTCCGCCGCTCGCTGTTCAGCGTGCGTTGCATCTGCGCTGCAAGTACGCTATGTATACGTCCAATACAGGCGGCTCATATGCTGACGGGGTGCGTCACGAACACATAGCGTACTCGTAACGCACTTGATCGATGCGCTGCGTATTTATAACTTATGACCTGCGTAACAGCGTACGCAGTGTAGTTTTGTGCATGCCCAAAACTATCCTGCGTACTGGGCCGTACCATGCGTATATCTGCGTACATAAAACCTACACAAAACGATAGAGATGCAAATGAGGTGCGTATTGTGCGTACGACTGCGTATGAAAAAAATGTCAATGCGCAACTCATAAGGAATTAGGATACGCAGAAGTGTGACAGGGCCCTTAGTAGCTGTGGACACAATCATTGACAAAACGCCTGTTTCGGAATGAGTCTTCCTTTGAGATTTACTGTTTTTTAGTCAATCGCAAAAAGAAAGTAAATCAGGCAGGAAATTTTGGCCTGTGAAGTCCCTGCTGTCGGCAGCCATATTTGTCCATTTCTTGGAATGAACAGTGCACGCGTGTGACGTATCTCCACCACTGACTCCACGAGCAGGGTCTGTGGTGGCTGAACCGGGTAAGCCCCGAGAATGACGTCAGGGCTAATCGAACGGCACGGGGGCTGACCCTAGGCGACTCAGGTGAGCTAAGCTAAAGCATAGTACGCACCCTATAAGTGTATTGGAATTTTTTGCCCATTTTTTGCCAATGGGCTCCGTGCACAAGTACTCCCTCAATGTTAAGAAAGGGAGAGTTGGGGGAGACCACTGGGAGAGACATTGGAACGCGTTGCTGACGACGCCTGATGCTCACACAAAGATTTTGAGCACATCCAAGTAATGCGTACTGTGCACTCTATGCGGTGTGTCCTGTCCATGGGGCTCTCAAAAGTGGTTAAAAAGCGCCGTCTCTTGTTTGCACACCGTGCCCATTGTCCTTTTAGTGACTGATTCACTTAGTGTAATGTCCTAAACTGAGCCTAGTCTTTTTCTTTTTTTTAATATTCCAGTCCACATTAACATCATTTGATAAAAAAAGGAAACAAAATCCTTAATTTTTTTATGTCCTGCCACAAAAGAAATAAGAAATTTTTGCCAGAAAACTTAACAAGACACATTGTTTATTTAAAATAACTATTTAATTCGGTCAAACCTACATTGTTTCAAAGGCTTACAGTTGACTGACACTACTTTTTAACTGTTAGAATTATTTTTGTGCTTATCAATTATCTTAATCTATTAATGAATGGCATTTGGCTTTACTTACTACGAAGAATCCGTTTACTTTTGATGTGCGTTGATCTTTGTTGGATGATCTGTTTCTAAGATACATACATGTGTGTTAAAACAAACTCACTGATGTTAAAGTCTTTATAAAGAAAAAAGGCTTAGAAAGTATTGCATTTTTTTATCTCTAGAATGCTGAAATCTGTTCATCACAATCCCACCCGTTTTGGAGTGGAAGAATCCAAACTCCGCCCATTTGAGAAGCTTCTGATGGGCCTGCAAGGTCAACTGCTGGACGGGATGATTTTTCAGGTGGGTGTGGGCAGTTGGTCGGACGAATGATTCAGTTTTCATTCCCGCAGTTGCTATTTTTCAACGAGAAACTTTATCTCTGTGAATGATTGGAGTTTATTATGTTTTGATAGAAGTCTGTTTCTTACAAGAAAAAACACTTAAAACCTGTTGGCTGTCATTTTGTGGGGTTTGGTATATTTTAAACTCGTGAGGGATGCATGCAATCCAAGAGCAAGATAGAGCTTGAACTGTGGTTTAATAATGATAGCTGTAAGCCAATTTAAGTTGTACTAATGTAGTCAACTATTTGTGAACAACCCGCTTACATGTATGGTAGTTGGTTCACTGGTTACCAATAACTGGGGCAGCATGATGTACAGCAGGGAGCCAGGACTGAGGGTATTTTGATGGTGTTCCAGGGTACTTCAACTTGAGACATCGGTACCTTAATATCACTCTGCGGATGCAACAAACATCGTGAATCAGCATCTAGTTAATGAATGTTCTTTAAACAAGCTTGCTCGAACTTGAGCTAAGAGCTATATCGTCGTGTCAGTGCAACAAGCTCGTAACTTCATTCTGCAACAAAGTTGTATCTCGCGCAAATACGCTCCGTGCAACAAGGTCGTATCTCGACGTCCACTGACTTTGTGTGTACATCCGGGTTATTTTAAGTGAGATACGACCTTTTGACATTCTGAATCTCGCGTTTCACGTACGGATCATTTGAGGAGATACGACCTTGTTGCACGGACATGACGATATGTACATATCTTACTTAAAAATCCATTACCCAAACAACAGCAGTCATTAGTGGTGTGTTCCAGTCATGCGAATGTGTTTGCGTTTTTCAGGTAAGCCCTGCAAACATGCCAATCCCATACATAATGATAATGTAAGTGAAGGACGGTTGTCAAAGTGGCTGCGCCCTGTATGCCTATCGTACAAGTGTCACTGTTTCCAAAGCTTTCAAAATCCTTGAAAAACGAATTATGCCAAGTAATATGAAGTTGCTGGAGATTTAGAAAACGGAAAATTTCCACCTGGACAGGATCATTTTCTTCATTGTGTCAGCCATGTTAGAAATCAGAAAGACCCTTTGCCTTTGTTACTGTAGTTGGTCCCTCTTGTGTAAAATTAGCCAACAAATAGTGCTGCTCATGTATTAGTGGAATGCACCCAAGTTTTTATTTTGCAACAGTTGAAAAAAGATGACATGTGACATGCATTGTTTTTTTTCAGAATTGTGTGGAGCAGGGCTTTGACAACAACAGTGTACTCGTCTCCAAGAACTCCTTCTTTGCCGAGGAATTTGCCTTCAACATTCGCAACATGTTCACCCAAGTGGACCCAAAGATCGGTGAGCCAGTGGACAAAGCCTAAAAACAAGAATAGACTTTTTATAATGGACCTTTGTTTTTGCATCGGGAGATGTAAACATTCAATATTGGGGTTTTGCCCTTCACCGACGTCAGTTACTCAGTGTCGTCCAATGGCTTGCAAGAACAAATTCACAAGCTAATAATGCTAGGTTCACACATTCCCGATTTTTTAACCCAAATCATTGCATAGAGCAAGTCTTGAGTAAATCTGGGAATGGTTTGGCTGCCTCGGGATGATTCTGTTTAGTTCGGTGAAAGATCGTTAAAGATCGGGAAGCGCCCCGACAATTTTGGACATGTTTAAAATTGTCAGGGTGATTCAGGAACTAATTTCAATTCTTGGTTTATTCTTGTTGCATTCGCAACAAATTCTGGATATTCTTTCAGCATTCTGGACATTCTAACAGCATTCTTACAAGTTTCGTAGAGTTATTCTTGGTCTTAAACCATCGAGAATCATGCTGAATCATTATGAATGTTTCAAGAAATGTACGAATATTACAAGAATAACTTAAGAATGCACTAAATCGGCATAATTCTTTGTCATTCTGGATGATTCTGAGGTTATTCGTATTTTATTCTTGACTAATTTGCTACAATTTGGTTTTATTCTGCACTAAATCACAATCATTCGGCTTGATGCAGACTGATTCGGCTTCCAATTCTTACGCGGTTCTTGATTATTTCTGTTTCATTCTTAAGTTATTCTTTTATACAAACAGTAAATCGGGGCTAATTTCTCCTGATGCCATCAATAATTTTTATTCGGTATTGATCTGGGTATTCGTGGCAATAATTTGGGAATGTGTGAATCTAGCATTACCTAGCAATCTTAGTGGTCGAGTGCGACGACATCTAGACTAGCAAGCAGGAGGTCGTGGGTTTGAGTCCCACCTGAGTAAGCTTGTGAGTTTTTCTCTGGCGAGCTTGCTCAGCCTGAACAAAATTCAGTTCTTGGAAGGCAGACAAATTCCTTCCAACCAAGGTCGATAATGTTTGAATAGGAACTAGTCTACTTGGTGGGGTCTAGTTGTGCGTAAAAAGGCAATTCCATGCGAAAGTGGAAATATGGCTGAAAAGTGGAAAACTTAAATCTTCAGAACTACAATCATCATAACCTCAAATGTGGTATTAAATAAAAACAGACGACAAGACCTCTTATTTTAATTGTGAGTCGATGATTTGGAATATGGTATAATGTATTTTTTTGGGGGAAAAAACACACCACTGGTAATAGGGCAAAAATTATGGATCTTTGGTAGACATTTTGTGTTAATATGAGTTTTTGTACAAACCTTTGGCCTTTCAGTTACTGTCATTCTGTTACTGAACCTGCATCAACTTACATGTCTGTACTTTAATTACTGAACAATAAAATTGCATTCATAAATACCTCAGACAGTTTAGCCATTCCTATTGGTCGAGAGCCCGTCACGTGGCCGGTCTTAAACAGATGATAAAGACATGGCTAGCTGGTCTTAAACACTTTTCCAGTGTCACATAAAATGTGGACTCCTAAAAATCCAGTGCCTCTTGCCGTTTTATTGTTTGAACGTTCACAGTCCTCACGTAGGCATGCGCAACACTACCAGTGAGTCAGAATTTTACAGTTCTAAATTAAAAATGCAATGCACCAGGTGCGTTCTGCGCAACATTGCACAGAACATGCCACGCGCGCGTCAATGTCCATAAAAGGGTTGTTTACATCTTAATCGCCAGCTGAACACTCCATTATTGAGCTAGAGGGATGTTTCAAAAAGCATGAAGTGAACTTGTTGAACAAAATCAGGATTTTTTGACCGAAATATTGTATTTTTTTGACCAAAAAGGTATTAATGAATGGGAATAAATGTATGCTCGGTCGGTATTTATCACTCTGTTTAAGACCGCTTAGAGTCTGGGTGCTGATAATTACCCTCGCTTCCGGCTCGGGTAATTATCAGCACCCAGACTTTAAGCGGTCTTAAACAGAGTGATTAAAACCTCTCGAGCACACATTTAATCCCTTAATTAAAAATCATAATGTTAAGGCCTAAATTCTAGTTCTGGCATTGCAACCCTTTAAATCAAGATTTCCTTAAAACATTCATAGACTTATGGCAAAATGTACATTATGTAAAACACATTCATGCCCATTTAAGCGTCATTTCGTTACCCACCTCATTATTATGTAAACAAAAAGAAGTTTTTCAAAAAATTAAAGTGGAAATAAAAGGCAGTGGTAAGAGTTTTTAAGGAATAGTGACATTGTTTAGATCTTGTGGTAAAGGTTTTTGAAGTACACATGCTTAAAATTTGAAAAAGAAAAAAAAGAGTCTGGTGTCATTCCGTTACCGTGGCATTGCCCAAAAGTTACCCAAAATAAAGTAGTTAGTAGAAAAAAATAGGGTTTGAAATGACTGAAATGACTTTTCTTCTAATGGTCAATGTTTGCTTGCAGGCGAAATCAACGAGATCAACCAGCGGCTGCAGTATGTAGGCATCTGCGGTCTGTACGTCCTCCACTTCCAAATATTCCGTGTCATCGACAAGAAGATGTTCAAGTCTCTCTGGGATGTCTACCGAAGGGTAAGGTGTTGCCCCCACCCCCCCCCCAAAAAAAGACCCAAAACGAAAGCATTATTATGGAACCATTGCCAAATTGCTTCAGAACAGATGTTTTTAAATGTTTGTGACTATTTTGTAATCATTCAAACCATCAAATTGCCCTGGTAAAGTTGAGAGCAAACCTGAAAAATAATCAGAAAGTATCACCACAGTCACGAAGGATGTTTACTTCTAAAGCCCTTTTGATACTCGGTCGAAAGCGAACGCGAACATGCGAATGTGAATTTGTGATGTCACGGCAAGTACACTCAACCAAAAAAGAAAGTCCCCCTTAATACTTTGTCTAACTCAAAAACTACCGGGCACATCTTGCTCAAATTATGACTGATCAGTACAGAAATTCCGTAGCAATCTAGCCATACTCTTTGTTTGGCTAAAAACAGTGATAATGTGTACAAAATTATGCAATTTATGACAAATGGTACCGAAAAAAGAAGTTGCACTTTTGTATACGTGCAAGGTGGGTGTGAACCGCAACTTGCACGTATACAAAAGTGCAACTGTTTTCGGTATCATTTGTCATAAATTCAATAAATTTGTACTCATTATCCCTGTTTTGGGCCAAATAAAGAGTAGGGCTGGATTGCTAAGGAATTTCTGCACTGATAAGTCGTTATTTGAGTGAGAGCTGCTCAGTAGTTTTTGAGTTAGGAACAGACCAAGATGGAGGAGCTTTGTTGATGGCCTATGTGCCACTAGGCATCATCAAGGCATTAAGTAAGGAGTATTTGCGTTGCAAATTCGCAAACATTGAGCCATTGGAGCACTGTGGCCCAATTGTTACGATGTTCAACGCATGTGCTGTGGTACGTGGGTGTGAACCCTGAAAGGAAACATGATGCTTGTTTTCTTGAGCAAGACACTTTACTACAATTGACCCTCTCCACCCAGGAGTATAAACGGGTACCTGTGAAGGTAGAGACCAGACTTTACTGATCTCGAGCTGCTGCAAAAACTGGTCTCATGACCTGTGTAAAGCGCTATATAAGCATCACATTATTATGGGTTTTTCCGGCCAGTTTCCTAAAATGTTCATTCACTTCTGAAAATTGGTCATTCATTTTCGTCTGAATTTGAGAATCGCTCTGAACACGCATTTCATTTTCACTATCAGAGCATTCAATTCCATGTCAGTTCAATCAATTAAGTGATTGAGCAGCACATTTCGTTTATGCTCATTCAGATTCGTTTTACAAGACTTCCTTTTCGCTCTCTGAGGGCGATTTCAAAAATTGGTCATTCTATTTCACTTTTAGTTTAATGTTATGTGATGCAATCTGCTATTTTGAATGAGGAAAACGTACTTTTGATTGCCCATTCACGAAATTGTATGTCAGAACTCTGCGTGAAAAGGTAAGCTTGCGTAAATGAATGCACAGGTAACGTAATTGGCTGTCTGTTTCTCAAAACCGAATGCACGGACAATGAAAATGATTGAACTTTCGTTAAATTGAAATGGGATTAAAGACGTGCATTCAAATATAGATGAAAATTTTCAGAGGCGAATGTACATTTTAGGAAATTGACCGGGAAAACCTATATTATTATTTCAACTCCGGCGAAACTCGCTTCGCATTTGCGTGAAGTATGACGTGGCATTAACTTGAGCTAAAATTAGAACAATCAATATAATAACCAGTAACAAATCATTTATAAACAAAAGATTTCATTCCGTCAAATTTGACAAACAAATGTGATGCGGTCAAGCAAAATGAGTCATTTGTCGACCCTGGTCAATTTTTTTTTTTTTACTGTTTTTGAAAAGAGTACAATCTCAGCATTACTGCTGTGAAAACCGCATGCTGGTACCATCGTTAGTTAAACAATTATGGAAGTCAGAAAACCAAGAAATGTGATGAAGTGGCCCTATTTTGGCCTGTACCTCCAAATGAAAATTCCCGACAAACAACTCATTTAGCCTGATCGCATCACAAAAGCTGATTACAGAAAAGGAAAAGCAATTCCCGATAAAAAGATTTTTCTTACCATACTATAGTAAACTCCGGCTAAGACGGCACTCTCGGGACCAGAGAATTTGTGACGACTTACGCGAATGTCGGCTTCTGCTGCAAGTCGTCATTTTGCCGACTTACACAAATACACAAATTGAATCACGGAGTGAAAAAAATTGATTGGATTGATGGCCTATGCGCATCTGTATCTGGATCATGCAAACAAGATTCATGGCTAAAATTCAAAGGCTTTGATTGACCCTGGTTTATTTCTACATCCATGGTTGATACCAGCAAATATATCCTCAATGTTTATCATCACAAACAGGCTGTGGTATTGATCACAGAAAGTCATGCATGTACATGTACGTACGTATGAAGCAAGGACGGCGCAGCCGGCTAGCGTTAACAGTGGGTACGATATACAGATCGCTTGCATACTGTACGTCCATATGTACATGTAGTGTACATCGTACAGTCACGAAGTAAATGTGTGCATGGTACTGGTACAATAAGGGGACCCCCAAAATGAACAGAGTGCATACGTGCAGTTGAGAGGGGGTACTGGTATTGATGTGCTATCGGGAAAACCCCTTTTTGATCGCGCACGTGTAAGCGAACGATGCACACAATGTACAGACTGTGCATGAAACAGTGTACACGTGCGATTAGTGTATCGTCAGACCCCCTAAAGCTACGCGGTCCTTTTTCTACGCATTTACCTTCAATTTGTGTGTGACAACGCGCGGGCGTGTATGCAAGCGTTACCTGCACAGATAATGGAGGGTCGAGGATACACGTGCTGGCCGATGCATCAATCACAGGCTGTGCCATTGATAGACAGATGTCAGTTAGCAGTGTGAGATTTTTCACTCGACACTTCTTGCGAACCGCAGAGCACGATGCAGACTTATACAGAGGAATTTTTGTGGTTTTGAGGAAATGGGACTGAAAGTAACACGCCGACATAGGCGAAATGGCAGCTTACAAAGGCCGACTTAGAAAGGAAAATGTCAATGGAAATGCATTAGAGACAATCGGGACTTTCGTCAGACGGCCGATTTAAGCGATATGACGGTTTATACGATGTCGGTTTAGCAGGAGTTTACTGTATTACAAAGTAGACATTTACAACACCAGTGAATATTAAAATTGTATCCATTCAATCAGTGTCATTCATTGGAAACAAACATTGCATGACTGCTTTTTAAGGGATTGTTTCAGTTGTAGTGAACAAAAGTGAAGGGAAATCACTCATGGAGAAACTGCCCCCCAGTGTCACTTCCCAGTAAATTTTTGCTTGATCACCCGCCACACCTTCTGCAAAACCTGTCGGTGTTCACCCTGCGTATATGTCAGCAACACCGTCCCGAGAAACATTTGACTGAGAGCCATCACCGCAAATGCTGCAACAAAGGGTGCGAAAGTTTGCGTATCTGGCTGAGTCAACACAGCGATATGGATAACAATGTAGACCGGTATCCAGGCTGCGACAAACGTGAAGAAATTGATGATGAAGTAAATCGTAATCTTGTGTTGTGTCCTTCCTGGATGTTGTCTGATTGGAGGATTGGGGGTGGATTCGTCGTCCAACTGAGGGCGGAGTCCTTGAAGATGGGTTACAAGTTGCCTCTCCTGTTGCACTTTTCGTTGTTGTTGTCGGGCGATGCCGGTTAGCGCAACCATCAAACAGAAAATGGCAATGGCACTGGGGATTGCTACAATGTCTATGAAGCAAATAGTTGAATAGGAGACTTTAGAGTCTCCATCATAGAAGATTTGGATGGTGGTGTCATCATCTATAATAAAAACCATCACTGACGTTAACATCACTGAGCCAACTATCCCAGATATTAACCACACCGTAGCAATGATGAATGCGCATCTTCTCCACGACGCCAAACAGATGTATCGCATTGGCCGGGAGACTTTTAGATACCGGTCAGCTGCTACGGCAACCGAATTCATGATAAAACTGCAGTTGCAAAAATAGACGTAGACGCCGAAGAGTCCGACATGCAGCTTTGGCTGTTCCGTTTGCAAGGTGTAATTGTAGCCAGCCAAGACGAACTGGATGCCCATCAAGGACTCCGAGGTGCCGAGACTCGCCAGGAAAATGTTGGACACACTGTGGAGCTGTCGACAGGAGATAATAGACATCACTATCCATAGGTTGATGAGGCTGGTGGCTGAGCCTATGACGCAAGACCCAGTGAGTACCAATGTAGGCCAAGGCCCTGCCGCGTCCACCAAAGTCTGGTTGTCTGATGGTGAAGCGGTTGTCAAACTGGTCAGATTCATTTTTGGAGTCAGCCCCTCTAGGTTTTTAACTTTTTTGAAGAACTTCAGTAACAAGTTTAGAATGGAGAAAGAAGGTTGTGTGGCAGTGGGCTGCCCGATGGTTAATCAGTCATCATGCTTGTCGCATTCATACTTTGGGAAACACTACGGTAACTAGTATAGCAGAAAGGAAAACAAGTTGTTGGACAGTTGCCTGTGTTCCCAACTGACCGGTCAGCCCTCTACTGTCACATGCTCTCAATCATGCAGGAAGCTACTGGTACATAGATGTACACATACGGGTACATGTTCACAGAAAAGGCATTTTATGTACATAAAAGAATGCAGGCAACGGAAGAGCATCAATAGCCACCGGGTACCATTAATCTCTACATGTACATGCTCGGTGGTCCAAGTGTACTTGGAGCTGGTACGTACATGTACATGTACCCAAATGTCGAGACTATTAACTCTGCCTCCACGCAGCAATACAGTTGTAAATGGAGCTCATCTTCTTCGCACAAGTAGAATGCAGAAAACCCTGTGCAGTACCCCTCGATCTCTAGTCCTCTGCCACATCTGCCTGTGTGTGCAGGGTAAACGTGTGTATATTTGTCAATATCCCATAATACACGTCAGGTACAACAAGTTTGTGGTAATGCACCATTCAGGTCTGTGCATCGCACTGTACGTGCCTGCACTGTCAATTTGCACATAATGAATAATGGT